TTTACTCATTTTGCTAGCTGTTTATCACACGACAGTCGCTTTTATATCTGGAATGGAACGCTCTAGCCTCGTTAACGTGCACAACGATGCAATAAGAGAAGTGCATCTGCATATACAGGCTTAGCATCGCTTGGCTGTTAGTGGACTGCTGAAGTTTGTAACGTCTTGGAGTACAACTCATATTTCGGTGTATGTTTGCCATAAAGCAAAACTAATAAGATAGAGCAATGGTTGTAATGGGATAGGCTCCGAGTCACATTCAAAAGCGCAGTGAATATACGCAGCAAGGATAATTGATTGCACAGCTTGACAATGATCTTTTTGGTCAGAGCACAAACCAAATACCTCGTTGTGTCATTGGACTAATTAGTAAAACAGACGATTCCCGAATTTCGCCAATCAAATATTTTCAAAAACAAACTAGTTAACCTTGTTTAAAATGGATCCAAAATCCAAAGCCAGGAACAAATTGCTACAGGTTGCCCAGTGCAGTAGAGAGTATTGCATTCAGCTTGCCGGATTCTTGGCCTCCTAGCACTGACATATGAGTGTAAAATTATTTTGTACTTTCTCAATGGTTTCACTGAACCATAGTTCCAATGGTTTACAGCCAGAATGTATTTAAACCAACTTCCTTGTCGGGGTAAGTTTTGGCACGCCTAATGCATGTCGTAACTCGAACAATGTGTTTGTAGGACGCTATTCTCGGAAAGGTGATTGAGGTTTGTTTTGCAAAACAGTGTCACGAAAGTGCAACCTCGGGCCTACCTCATCACGAGAGTTGACAAATTGCGCAGCCGTTTAATCACTAGTTGCTGATGCGAGAATTCTACGCTTTCTGTCATTGGTCCACTTGCGTGTGAATCCCAACGTTGTTCATAATGAGAAAACCCTAAGTCTGAATTGATACTTGGGTTTAAAACCGGACCGATAATAGTGACTAAATAAAAATCAAAACTCTGGAGATCTTCTGTGATGCAACTGACCAAACATGCTCCGAGTAGAAAGAATTAAGCCCAAGACGTGCTGTTTTTCTGAGAGGAAGCTTTAGAGGAATCTTACCATAAGTCACCACAAACAAAAAGGCGGGATAATATACATCTTCACCAAGTACAGTAGTTCCTAGACCTTGCTGGAATCTCATTGTAAGCCTTTATTCGGGCTCATCAGGTATCTGGGGCATACATAAAATACACTTATTTAAAAAATAATTTGTTTCCGGTGACGGACTTAACTAAAGCCAGCCGAATCGCTTGTTTATGATATTTTCCAACCTAATGTGCTGTACAAAATCCGCCTCGTGATACATTAGTTTCCAGTTTGCATGACTCCGATATCCCAGATAAGGTATTCTTCCAGAATGAGTTCAATTAATCTAGTCCCTGATAATTTTGCTACTTAAGTGATACACCGCATAACAAAATAAGAAAATGAATAAGAAATTCCGTAACATTTTCGTTCTTTCACTCCAGAACGATAACTTTGATTTTCATAGTCCAGAAAACGTAAGAACACTTTAAAATACTAGTAGACTAAATCGATCAAAGATGCCTTAGCTGTGAATTTGTTGGTTTGACTGCACTTGCCAAGGTCTTTAGATAATTATTTGATATATTGAACGGTAGTACTTTTATCAAGGACCCCTGTAAAGAATTCACCCAAGATGAACAGAGACTAGGTCTCAATTGGGCGAATCAGCTAAAGAATACGAACAGTATCACCTAAAACTATTGAAGCAAAGTTTAGCGTCACTTTATTTCTCTAAGGTGCGTGCATAGACCATGTAATACTCAGACCGCGAATGACCGCTCCATTCCAATCATAATTTGCGTGTTCAAACCCCAAAGTCACTGACCGCTTTTGTTCAACTGCAAATGTTCTATTTCATGACAGTCAATGAACACAAACTGTACCTATCTTTGGTTTCGTCGAGTTACGTTTCAGGAGGCATTGGCTGTCATAAAATTATAGCTATTCCCTTGACAATATAAGAACAAAATGGATGGTCATTCGAAATTGTACACAGTTGGTGGTGGAGTTGTTCGTTGAGCTTGACAATTTCGAGGTGGCATCATCAGTACGTGGTTGGGAAGCAGAGTAACGTGTGTGTTGATGGTTGAGGCACAAATTTGTGTGATTATGAGGGGATTAACCTATGATTATCTGTTGCCACAACCTGGGCTACCAACATTCTCATGTATGGATCATGGAATTTGATGGCTGAAAAACACATCGGAATTACGATTAACTGCGAAATGAAATACACCTTTTTTATCTCTGGGTAATGTCAAAATATCTTGCTAAACATGACGTCGTTGATTCCGTCTCCGGATAGCATTTGAAGTCGGTTTAGGAAAAACGTATCAAAAATTGACTCCGATCAGACAGTTTTAACGCGTAAATTGGTACATCTACTATGAGCCCAACGTTCAACTGGAATCCGTCGTGAAGCTAAATATACTCCGGATGGTATGGCAATTGAAGAATATAAAATTAGGGAGACGTCAAGAGGTAAGGCTAGTAATGTCGAGTGTGATGCACACTAGCACACTTTAGAGTTGAAGCCAAGCCTTGTATTGTGGAAGTGGATTTGGCCACATTTCGTATGACCGATGACGATGTTATACTAGTGTAACAAGAAATTGATATTTTCATTATATTTTAAATGATCTTCCTTAAGAACATAGACTGACACATTTGAGAAGCATTTAGCTGTGTTGTAGTCTGAAATCAAGAAACAGTTTTAACATCCTGAAGTGCGAGAACGGATGGAATAGTCTGCTTGTAGACATTGAGACACTAGGTACGCAAACCACAAGCCGATTAATCACTAAATTTTGCTATAATCTGCAGGAGGTTAGGACAAACTACAGACGCAAAGAATCGGAAGAAGCTTTGCAGTGGAATACCAGCAGGAGAATTTATAAATTAAAAGAATGTCNAGGCTTGGCTTTGCAGTGGAATACCAGCAGGTGAATTTATAAATTAAAAGAATGTCTATTCTAGAGAGTAACTTTTTTTAAGTTAGATCGGGTCATATAGGAGCGAATTTGAGTGATTCCTCGAGCCATATCTGTTACCCCACTACCGATACTATCGCACACAATGCACATTTTGCGTACAGTTATTTTAGGTGTGGCATAGAGAACAGTTGGACGCACAGTTTGCAACATTTAAATTAGGCTGACGTTTTGAATAAAAACGTCTTAAGCAGTCCTCGCATGAATGGATTCTTAACGCGCTGTACTGGAACGCACTTACTAGGTTTGGTCAGGTTAGAACAAGCAGTGATTTCGGAAACAGTGCTACCAGAACTGTATAGGTTAGAAGAAAAGCTCTTTGTTGTATAATCGAATGAAATGTTGCACGCTGTCGTCATTTTTTCAAGCTTACGACCACCCACGCTCGATGTCAGTAACTACAATCCACAGACTAAAGAGGGACCCTAATAAACTGTCGATCACTCGAACTACCGTAGGTCGCACAGTAAAGGCGGTATTGCAGTCGCAATCTAACAGAAATCCGCCATCACCCTACTTGACCCACATCGCAAACTATACTACGCTTCAGTCTTAATTCCAGTAATGGCCAACAATACGACTCGAGGAATCTGCATGGCAGTTTTAGTCTGACATTCCTTATGACATCGAAAGGTAGTGTATTTCGGTGAAAACAACCAGTCTGCCTCTAGAGCCAGGATTCAAATGTAAATGTATGAGAAAAAAGCCCGATATAACCATTTTTTGCTGGGAATAGGATAAGAAATAACTTTTAAATGACATTTACGCATGACACGTGCTATCCAGTGGTGAGCTTCAGCGAAATCTCTCCCCAACTTGCATGATCAACATGTGGCCGTCAACCAGATTTGAAAGAATGAAAACTCTAATTGCCCCCATTGTTTGTTTTCGCAACTACAAGCGTCAAACACGTCCTGTGGCGAAGGATGCAATGTTTTATGGTTGTCCTAAATCAGAAGTTACCATTTTATTGTTGAAGAAATACAATCTTCACAAGACTGACATCTACAGCCACACAAACCAAACACCAGAGACATATTACTCATTATAATCATCAAATAGCATGACCTCACATGCTCTTTCAAGCGTATGGATTGATACAGATTGAACACATAAGTAGCATTCATGTGGGCAAAGTATGGTAGGACGGTCTTTTTATATATATTTGTGTTAATCGCCCCTGTTGTTCTATGTGGAGGCAACAGTGGCTGCGCGCAGCTAACAAAGATGTGAGCATCTCATGGTTTTAGTCAAATAGCAGGATCTGTCCTCGAAAACATGATAGCATTGCAAACTGCTGCCAATCGCTGCCCATGAGAACCATTTCATAACTTGGCTAATATTTTCGTACCACTCAAACGAAAAGCAACAAAACTTCAAAGTCAAATAAAAACTAAACTTTGTTTCATGAAAAATCATCTGAGTTGGATACACAATGCGTACTAGTAGTAACAATATAAATAATAAATGAGTAAGGTGAACTAAAACACGCCACGGGAGAAACAACGACCGAGTCGCTCAATGCAAACAACATTCCAAGCCAGATGGATTTGCAACAGTTGTTCCCAAACAAACCTAAGAGTTGGCCACGAAATCAACAGAGAATACTTGCTCATGATTGTGGAATGAGTCGGGCAAAAATGTTTTGTAAAAGTGCTAAAATAGTATCCGAAAAATGAACCAAATGTGACTAAGCCGTTTAGAGCAAATCAGATTGGGATAAAACTTGCAACAGTGAATAAAGTGCTTTAGATGCTTGCACTGTTAGTTAAAAACAAGCACCGGAACGAGCTAGGGAAATCTAGCCCGAATAAAATAATGAAACTTGATTTTTGGCGAAAGGTGGTTTTTTGACCGATTGGACAAAAAGCGTAAAACTTAATCAAACGACATAGGAATGATGAAGAGAATTAGCACATTTCACACTGAGCACAGGGAACTGAGGTAAAGCTGAACGAAACAGTGTTTTTGTGGACCATTTCACGGGTTTGCGCACAAGATCCAGACAACAAAAGCATGTACCATGAAGGAATTGGTTTTACGGCGGGCCATCCTGCCACCCATTTGCGTGACGGTCATTTCGAACTTTTCTTCTTCTAAAAAAAAGAAAAAAACAGCCTTCGTTCTATTCAGGGTTAACATCAAAAATAACGTTCGGTATGGGTAGGTAAAACGATTGGAAACAGACAAATACAAACAGTTATTTTTAAATAAATCGCGATGAGGTATGGAAAAACATTCCACCTTGCGAATATTGAGTTTAAAAAAAAAATTTTCCCCCTTTCGCCTCTTTCCTGCAGCAGTCTACGTCTAATTTACGGTCACTTGATTTTCAAAGGAAAATGAGTGACCTCTTAGGGTTTTTGCATTCTGGGTACTTGTGCAGTCCACTGAAGCCGTGAACGTCAAATGGTTTCGAGTTATCGTATCAAGCCCAAGTAGAAGGGTGAGTATTACTTGTATAACTTCTTCACACTAGCCAAAAGAATAGCTTGTCATACCATTTAGTCAATTCCTTTTCAAAACTATAGTGTTCTGTGAGTAAAACCAAAACGCGTAAAATCGAAGTTCCTTATTCAACCTCAAAAGTTTTGATCCAAGGGGTGCAACTTGAATTTGGTGAATACCTGCGCTACTCCGAGTAGTTGAAGCCTGCATGACCGGAATCCTGTAGGGCAAAGGGCCAGTTTCTACCGAACATCAACACGATAAGTTAAACTGGAGGAAATGTTAATGGATAAATTTAGTTGCCAAAACGGTTAAACTTTTGGTGGGAGTCACATTTACAGCATACCACCAGTCGAATAAATAAATTTTGTTCAGTACATAACAGTTCTTGTTCCATTTTACTTCAGTTCATTCAAATTGCATCCGATCCCGAGGTTCCTCTAAGAATGCTTGGGTGAATTCCATAATTCCGGAAATTGGAGTTTATTGCCGTAGTAGAACTATCAAAAGCTTTTGGGGTTTCTTGTCTCCAAACCTTATTGCGTGAGAACAAGAACAACACATGGCTTTGAAAAAATGCGGAGAGGGTTCGCCAAGCAAAGTTCATCCCATGTGGGATGGAATTTGCTGGGCGGATGCACTGTCTGGTTGTTTGGACATGATAACAGGTCCACAAATTCCATGCTGTTATTTTAACCATTTACCGACAAGTTTCTGCCAGAATATCATCACTTTAAAAACATTTTCCTGATTTTAAGGTGGTATCGGTGTTTGTAACGCCCTTGGGAGATATCCACCCTCAATGACGACTCACCTCCCGTCGGTTCGTTTTCAAGGATTTTCTCTGCAAAAAACCCAATTTTTGGTGAGGTTTCATCTGCCTCTACACTAACTGGTATGATATTTGAAAACATGCTTGTTTTATGAGAATATGAACGTAATTTAGGCATCTGCAAATCATTTTGGACCTTAAGACACCATGGTAACTCACATCCAACCAGTTTATATTCTTATACCAATATCACGATCTTTCATTTCAAACTAGTTGGCCGTTGCGTCAGTAGAAGGAGGGGGAGCTTAAAGCTCTATTTATAACAGTCACAGTGTTAGTTAGTACTTTTCATTAAGGAATTGCTAAACTCGGAACGTTTCTGGCGCAGAACACGAATTTGCCCCAACTTAAAGAAGGTTAAATTCACACGTTAGTCTTTCAAGCTCGTTAAATTCTAGACGTATACAGATCCACCACACTATAACACAAAAATATCTACGCAGAGAAAGCCAATTTACTCACGCAATTTCGCAAGCTGCATGGGTGGAAGAGCGAGTAGTCCAGGTTTGATTTTGTTTGAACCTGAAGGGAGTAAGCAATAGGTTAGAAAATGACCCCATCACCCATGTTCACTTGATGTCAACAATAGACTTTAAATAGCAGAAACGCTCGTGGTTTCGAATAAGATGGTTGATTTGCTGGTTTTCCATAACAAAGCTATCCACACACTCAGTAAAAGCTTTGGCAAGTACTTCCGTATAGCTTCAAGGAGCACAGGAGACAAATTCAATATCTATTCACCTTTTTTGTTTTCAGGTTAAATTGTGAGACCTTGTTCAGAAGTACATACGACATGTATGCTGAAGATATCACTTTTGTTTTTGTTTCCTCTGATTGCAAAAAGTGTCTGGTTGGTTAACCAGTCCTATCCGTTACTTCACAATGACCTTCGGGCTCTTTAAGTGCTTAGCGATGCTATATGACTGCCGGGATGCATTCTAACGGTCAGCAGGCTTGCTGTCTTCATTGTTTGGCGTGCATCCTATAGGGAAAAACTACGCACTACGAAGGCGATGCTATATGACTGCCGGGATGCATTCTAACGGTCAGCAGGCTTGCTGTCTTCATTGTTTGGCGTGCATCCTATAGGGAAAAAACTACGCCACTACGAAGGTGCGGTAAGGTAAGGTAAAGCTTCCTGTAACCAAGCACCCAGATAAGCAGGTGAAATATTTCGACGTTTACAAGCACAAAAACTTACCGTCATACTTGGCCGTACGGAATGTGAACGTCGATGGATTATTGGTCACCGAGTCGACTACGGAGCTGGCACAGTCATATTTGTTACACACTGTTACGCTGAGGATATGGTCTGTATTCGCACTCAGGTTGCTCAAATGATGCCAAACCAACTGCTCCCACGGGCCCGTGCTTGGTACTTCTAGTTCCTGTTTATTGTCTCCAGGAGCTACCAAGGAAACCTCATTCTTGTCCATTGTGTTTGGGTCCAGACTGTAAAAAAGCTTTCTGTTGCGCTGGTTCACTGGACCGGCCGTGGAATTCTAGGAGATACGAACGATTAGACCAATCACAGATGAAGCAATACAGTACAAGGTCACCAAAAATAATCAGAAAACATTACTGATGAGAAAAGCTGTGTGTTACGTAGAAATCCTCCAAAAAAACAGAAGACAGACAAAACCGAAGTCAGCAACATTCTTTATTGTCCTAGTAAACAACTACGCAGCGAAAACAAGTGAGACTGGAAGTGATCAACGAACGTTATCAATAAAGAAAACAATCCACTGAAACTACCAAGTGAAGAACACTTCACTCGTAGTTTTGCAGGACACATTTTTACCTTCCATAATCGTTCACGGGAGTTGATATCCTAGTTTGACAAATAACCGATCATGCAGTTCCATGCAAAACATACCGGTTACCTTCAACTGTTACAAAAGTACACTTAGTACCACGTCAAAAACGTGAGTTGCCAAATTATCAAACGATAAATATCTAGATTCAAAGGTATTCTTCATTCATCAATTTGGGATGTGCTTACAACTTAAGTCAAGGAAAACAAATTAGGGAATAATTGCAACACTCACTGAGTTGTACTCTTCGACCTCCAGTGTCACATTTTCAAGTGGAACTCTGGAGTGAGTCCGCCAATGTACCAAGTAGTAATCAGCATGGGAAGTCCAGTTCGGTGACAGAATTACCGGTCTTGCAGGTGCCACTGTGCATGTAAAATGGAAAGTGTTTTAGCCTCTTAACTGTCTCGTGAGCTAAAGAACACATGGAAACTGAATACATGCAGCGAGAGCGTAACAAGAATTAACATTCTGTTTACTACTACACATCAGAAATTGGGTTCCGAGGACTTTACTCGGTGATTTAAATAAATGTTCGCCTAAAACTGGAGGAAGCAGTAATCAATATCTGGCTGCAGACTTATGAATCAGTTGGTAGAATGCTTCTTGATAGGACAACAGGCCAGTAAGAAGTGGCAGACCGTATCAGTGGGATCGTTTTCAAATCAACAAGGTTACATTTTCAGAATTGCTATGCCAGAATACTTCTAAGATACAACGCACCTAATGACCTATGAACTCATGTCCTTTTCAAATTTCAGCATAATGTAATGTCTAATATAAACCCACAGGACCACGGTATCAACTTTCAACTGGTTGCCCGAATAAACTGCTAGTTGTGCTGGGACTACACCATGTCTTCCCATAGTAACTCCAAGTCGTGGTTGGTGGGAAAGACCCAATTTGTTCAGGTTTTATGAGATACGGAATAACTGTCTACAGTATCGCCATTAAGACAAAAATAACGTCTAGCAGATTTCTGTGGATGGAAATTCGAAGCAAACTGTGTGCAGTGCATTTGGTTGATGGATCACTTTGCCAGAGATCTAGTTGAGTCTACAGCCACAGTGCACGCTAAAATGTTTCAAAAAGTTCAATTCTGATGATTTCTGAATCAGATTCTATTTCTGATGCTAAATAGAATGCATCACACTATTTTCTGGGTTGTGTGTGCTTCGAATCAGTTAGGCTAGCTTTTCCAGTTGTCTTCTGATGGCAATTGGGAAACTGCTATTCTGCAGTCAAATACGTATAACATACCCTCACATTTCCACAATCTGGCACCCGGCCATCTCGTGGAGAGGGTATAATCAGATGAAGCAGGGCAATTCAGTCTATCGAAATTCGATTTACTCTCTAAATGTAGGATTGTTCGTGAGCCATTCCCGGTTGATCGACTGTTAATCCTTATTTCTAGCCTCACAGATCCGCCAATCAGAGACCAGAGATGAACGCTGCGCTCAAAGCAATCGAACGTTTACAATTTCAACTTGATGTTAGGAAGCTTGAAAAAGTTACTCAAAACTACACGACCAAACAGAGAGAAACACGTTGGACTGAACTTATCAGAAACTGAAGACAAGAGCACGATATCAGCGCCCATTCCACCTGTTCACAGTCAAAACCTCTGTGTGAACAAGTTCACCCAGTAACTCCTAATAGTCAGCAAGTGTGCAATTGAGTCCCTTAAAGCAAAGTAAAAAATTAGCTTTTTTGTCATAATACATTGGTTTCTTTTGTTACTATTGGCCTGGATGGAATTTCACGTACCCAATGTGAGGCAGACACTAAAACGAAACTGAAAATGTTTGCCAAAATGCGTAAGGACGACAGTCACGCCCATTGAACCAACTATACACGGCTAACTCATTCATGTGAAAATAATTGTCACATTGGTTCGAAACAGTTGCTAAGGCATCAGTGCTTTGTGTTGAAGAGGAATAATTGAGTAAGGCTAATACCAGGCATGGGACAGTACATTACGATGGCAAGCTATAGGTTTTTTGACGTGCAGGGTTTGTCAAAAGATTCCGAACCTCTAATTTTTAGAGTTTCCATTTGTTGTTGATGAGATGTAACAGGTTAGATTATGAGAAATACACTCATTTACAAATCAATTTGTTTTTCACGAAGGACTCAACTGAAACTGTCGTTTTTTATGATATTCTACAACTGAATGTGCTGCATATAGGCCGCCTTATGATTCAGTTGGCCCGATATTCGAGATATCGCAGTACACTTTCATGAAGGCAAGTACTCACAAGGTTGCTGTTGAGGATTCTTCAGCAACCTTGTGAGTAGTTTCCTTCATAAAAGGTCGGATTATGTTTCGCAAACACTGGTCGCAATGCTTGTCGGTTATCCGAAATACCTACTTCTTGATCAGGAAGCTTTGTTGTGTTTGTCATGTTTGACAACTGACCTGATAAGCACCTAATAAATTAGCCCGAGCTATCGTTATTCAAACACATGCAAAGTAGTTTTACGCCTTCCTTTCGTCTATATAAGCATATGGCACTTCTTATTTGTCTACAAACCAAGTGTCATTTTAAAAAAGAAAGGAGATCTGATCACTGGAGGCACTCTTCATGCTATAGGAGCACCTGTGCCTCGTGAAGCTCAAGGCTGTCTTGTAAATTGCGCCCCAGAGCTGTTGCAATAAATCTTATCAAAACACAATCCTGCATTTGGGTTGTCTGGTCAACGGTGATGCGCCTACCTGACTTCACACGTATGTCGTAGGCGGTTTTTTTGACAGAATGGCCGTGTTCCAAACTCTGGGCTATTCAATGAAATTCTTAAATTAGACGAAAACAGCTTGTTAGCGCAGACGTACCTCCCATGTTGGTTTCCTCTAGAACAGCTAAGTAGTTATTAAACCGTTTTCAATATTACGAGATGATGTCCCGAGTTTTTCCTTTAAAGTGTGAAGTTAGCTTCTTCCCGGCTATGACCCATATTCGTCAAGCATTTGGCGCACCATTCACAGTTGAATCAACCTGTCTCCGAGACATCCAGCCCGCTCGTTTCAGGATACACTTCGGTTTCCTAAACCTGATCAATCCAAGCCATCCTGAGAAAGTATGATAACTGATGACAAATAGCATTCGGCCTCATAGCAAACATCTCGCCGTCTAGTCACTCACAAGCAACCAACACCACAAGGACTTTGTGGGTCACTCATCAGACTAGGTTTATGTGGTCCATTTAATGGAAACTGTTCGAAAGGAGGGATGAACGGAGTTCACCAGTCGGTCCTTTTTACATAATCGAGCTTGATAATTCAAAGTTATTGGGTGGCTAATGTTGTTGCAGGGGTGGAAGATGTCAACATTTTCTCCGAGAAAATACAGTAACAAGGAATTAAACAGAGTTTCTTAAACCAGATTACTCAATGCCTAATGGACCGAGAACCGCAGTTTTTGTGGAGGATGCGTATACCACCTTGTTCTTTAGTCAGCCCACCATGGCGGTCTTACAGCAACTATGGTCTTCCTATTATTGGATTTTTAAGTTCAAGGCTTTAATTAAGGACTCCGCTCTTAGTGAGTACTTGAGTAACTAGCGGGAAGAGAATAGCAGCAAATAAAAATTGTTGGGGTAAGTTGACTGAAAGGGATACCACGAATGCCCAAACAACGTCTGCCAAAGAAGGCACGATTCCGCTTCCTACCAAACACATGAAGATGAAAGATTCTATGGGACAAACCACGTGGGACTACTCAAAATGAAAATGGGCTTTTCGCACCTTTCCGTTTGAGTTTTATATGACTGTACTTGCACTTATTCATAAAATTATGTAGAGCACTGTGAGTACCCCCACACTAATCCCATTTTAGCCAAACTAACCAACCAGAGTGAGCATTGAATGAGTTTCAGAAAGAGTGATGGATAAATCTCAGTCATGACAGTTCCCTCCCATCTGACGCTCAGATGCTGCCACAAGGTACAGGCATGTTTATTTTGTCCTGTTTTCACTACGAATTTCTTCCTCACCCAGACCCCACTTTTTATTTTAAAACTTAATCAGGGCATTCCTTCATTACGGTTATGTTGGCACGCATACATTACAGATGACGATGATACAGGCTCTATTGAGTTGATATTCAAATGTGCCATTTATTGTTCGTCCTGGGCTGTAAATGAAGTGCACGGCTACTAAGTCCAATGCCGGAACACGCACATCAGAGAATGAGCTATAGTCAACCCACTAACGCCTACAGTAGGCAGAGTAGCCCCAACTCTCAAGCAAACATTATAACCACACGGTAGTACAAGCACCCCAGAAATGTTTATTTCATTACGTACCGCTTACTCCCACAAGAATATGGTAAGTACTGTTCTTGAGCTTTCAAAGACATGTTTAACTTAATAGGCAAGGGTGGGAGTTATTCTTGTCGAGATGGAGTCATTTCAGAGGGAAAATTACACTTTGCAGCGCAGAGTTACCCACAGCAATGTGGGACTATTTAAGTTAATGACCGACTTCGAACAAATGGCGCCAGACAACCCATACGGAAATTTCCATCGAGAAGGAATTGTCAAAACGTATGAAAATGAAAATGTTTTAGCTCCTGATGACTAAGACGTACGACCGGGTATCGTGCGTAGTTGAAATTGGAACACGCGGCTGATAATTTATTCCCATATGGCCTGCCCTCTACAGGATTATTGTGACGCGAAAAGCCGTTTCATTCTGATTGTTAGTCATCAGTACTTCAAATTCTCGAAACCTGGAGCAGTCCATCGCGGAGCATTGCAGAGCTGATGTGCTAAATTTGACTAAAGTCGCAGTATAGAACACAACTTTTACTCGATTTTTTCAGTTCACTGCTGATTGAAAAAACTGCTCAGTGTTCACCCTTTAAACCCACCCCATATAGAACTCGGATGATACTGACTGATCCTAGAAATAAAGAAAGATTCTAAAGGTAATTTATGACTTTTTATTAAGTAACGCAGAACGAAACCCGAAGTTGAGATCTTCTCAATACGAGCTGAACTAAATTAATGACACTCTATGGAATTGTTCACCTTCGATATCGCCCATGGGACGTTTGGCACTAGCGTATCATATATCCCGCGTCGCTTATTATATTTTATTCTGTTTTTCCCAGTTTATTACAATTAGAATGCGCGGTGGCTATTGGTTTCGAACGGAAAAACCCAAGGCGTTTCTTGTAAACTTCACCTTAATTAATCGGAAAAGTGCTTATCATTTTTATCTACGCTTTGATCAATTTGCTGATTAGATGTTAAGGACGACTGAGTACTAAATCCAGAGAATAACGGGCACTTTGTGTTCTCAACAACATGGAATTTTTTAGCCTTTTTTTGGGCCACACATTAAAGCGCATTAGCGGCAAAATACAAACGAAGGGCAAGCGTCAGCAAAACCACATATACTCACCACTGTGACAAAATGGTAGAAGAGTAACCAGTTGTATTGGGTTACGATTTGGAATAACTTACCCGTAAACGTAATCTCCTTTATTTTGCTACCTGCTTCATTTGACGCTTCACAAATGAACGTGGTCAAATGATCTTGTTTCACGCTGTCCACTGTCACAAGAAATGCATGCGTTCCACCTCGAGGTTCGTCCCAAATTTTACGTGGCCCTTCAACCTCTAGGCCATCACACACCAACGACGGTACGGGAAAGCCAGTTACGTAAATCTGTTGGGTGATTGGAAGGACAAGCATAGCAAGCATATCATACAGATGAGGTGGCGTTCTCTGTCAGAAGGACAGTTTGAAAAAAGATTACAAGAGTACTAAGTTTCACGCTGTGTAGTGAAACAAATGGCATAGAAGTGGGAACCGGGATAGCAACGTAGAATAACTCATTTCTGAGCCATATTCTGCATACTACCGATCAGTGACCTTGACGGTCAGTTGCCACATATGTTAGACAATTAATAAACCACAGATTTCATTTCTCCGGTTATCACAACATGGGACCCAACATTAGTTTCATTGGGACTTTACCCAAAACGGATGTTAGCAAATGCTGACTTGTTCTGATCGCCTTTCGTTACCTTTATTTAAAACCAACTGCCCTGCTGAATATGCCCTCATGTGTTCGACATCTGATAGGTTCAACTAATCATTCATTACTAAAATTTGTTAAGTAGATACAAAATCAACAGTGCATTAGTATATTGCTTTTGTTCATGTTAAAGGAGATCCGGCAGGGAATCGAAGACCATTAACTACATCTTGATGCCATTCTGATGTGGTTTCAAATCCATGGAACCAATTGCTGGCGTTCAAACTTACGTTAGAAAAATGTATCCTTCGTAATCCTCGGCCTCAGATTACACGTCATGAATAAACTTCGGCAGTTTTTTGTAGTTCATCACTCAAACGCCTTGAAATGGATTATGGCGCTCTCGTCTGTCATCCGAAGTTAACCATAAACAACAGACGGAACACAATCTCTCACTTCAAGTCAGCTTAAGACGTCTTGTTTTCTTCTATCCCATCCATCTTACCTAGAAATGCGACCATGATTTTTAGGCAACTGTGACTTCACTCATCTTTACTGATTGTCACTGCTGCCTCACATGTGTGGCTTATGGTTGTACTTACCCCCTTCTGTTCCTTCACTGACCTTATTTTATAGCTGTTCACAGTTTTTTGTCTAAAAAACAACGTTTCGAAAGTTCAGAGATTTGTTTTTCTCTGATTACCTATCTCCCACAGATGACTATACACCCTACCAATTACACATTTTGAAATTATCCCAATCAGCTGTTAAGTGCCGGTGTCTTCAACATGTCCAGCTGATTACCTTACTCACTCGATCGTAATCGACCCAGAAGAGCGTAAGATACCACTTTATAAAACTGCCAACTCCCTCCATAAACCGTCTCACTGTTGGCACAAATTCCAGACCATGATGGCACGTCATAGAAAGCGGCCTTTCCGTTCCTGACGATCGACCTCGACTCCTGTTAAGTCAGTTTCTCCGTCATAATCGGTTCCTTCGATCATTGCGATTTACTTGCACGTATTCGATTCCGCTCATTCCATCCAGTACCCGTTCAGCCAGGATCAACATTCCATTGGCTCAGACGGTATGTGCAAGTACTTGTTTTTTATCTCTGTGTATCTTGCACGCTGAATGCTTCAAATTTCACTAACAATAGTTTCGTTGTTTTTTTTGCAGCAGGCTATAGCTAACATCTTCAAACCCGGAAATCTTTCTATCCTAAAAATCCAAGTCACACCGCATACTTTTGGTATGTAAAACATATACATTCTCTAAAAGTTTTTCAATGCTCGAAATCCACATCTCGACTACGTGATTGCTCGTGACTCCCGGTCTGTCACTATCAACAAGACAAATAATAGGCCTGTGGTAGTGAGTGATAAACCGTTTGGCAGACGCAAAGTACAATTCTCTCGAGGCCTTGCGACAGAGGCTGGCAGCAGTTTTCCCCAAGGCCGAATATGCTAGATTTTTGACGCATTAATAAAGTGAACGATCTTCTTGCCACTAGTCAAACTATGCAGAACCCACTACTTTGTCCTTGTTCGCCCTCAAATGGTAAGATGTTCACCAGTCTTCCGTCTCTATGCAGACGTCGATGTCTCTCTATCCAGACATTGTCCCAACACCTGCGTGTCAGAATCACGTTCCCCCTTCTTATCATCGATTTGACCTTTTCCAATCATTTCTCAGGACCCTCAACTTGGAAGATCTCTCATGTACCATCTCCCTAAATTTGAGCATTTTTCCAACTACTTCCAACTTCAATAGTGCACCGAAAGTTGTACGATTCCTCTTGGTCTGCTGTGCGATCTTGATATCAATATCCTTTTGTACGTTCACCAGTGGAGAGTAAGGCGACACTGACCTACATTCCAATTGCCACATGTATCCCTCAGGTCTGGCCATTCGCCCATTCTACTTGGGAAAGCTTGCAGCGCATTCACGGCAGCCTTCAACATAAGTGTTCTTTGAATAGACTTTCAGCACCACAATTCCTCAGAGTTCCTATTCTGAAAACACAAACCATAAAGCATCTGATTGCACACTGGGATACGTCATATTAAATAATCAAATCTTATTGGCTGGTTTTATCACCCAAATTCACACGTGACGAAAGCAGTGGGCTTAGGTTTAGCGAAAAATAGACGGTCTAATGGGGTGAGCATACGACGCGACCATAAAAAGTTTGAGAAACCTTGTTGTTCTCCCTGTCTTGATCAATTCAGGGTTGTTTCGTGATGCAGGTCTATTTACATAATTCATGAAATGCAAGCCGTGAATACCCACCCACGTTGTTCAACAACCGATCGACTGACACCAACATTCATTATGCGTAAGAAAAACCATAGATTAAAAACTAAATGATCACATTTTTCACCTGATAGATCCAACAAGTTGTTGCAGAATAAAGTAGGTGACATGATTATATGTGGCGCGACAAAATCACGTTTTCCACCTGGTGGTGTGTGAAAGTGAATGACGTTCCGTGAACCAGCAAAAATTTTATCAGGAATGACTGTGGGAATTAGTAGGGGCAATAATTTGTCCAGTTGGTTTAAAGGCACTAAGAGGAGTTATTTCCATATTACTTTCAGCCTTTTGGCGAAAAACATTGTAAAGCACATGCCATTCTTTTCGTCTGCATTAATGACTGAATTTGTCCAATTTCTGCTCCAGTGCAACCTCCGAATAAGTTTTGGGTTCAAGGGAGCTTGCAGTTTTATACACTGTGTGTAATATTATATCCAGCAAGATCTCTGTCAGGTGGAGCTACAGAGTTGTGAGTTACTAGTCCAAAATTGCGAGAGAAAACGGACGTCATCTGTGAATGGTGTCAATTGTTCACGCGTCTACACAAATGTATGCCGCGCATGTTCAAGCGTTATCAGTCAGCGTGCGGTGTGTTTTAGACAGCAGCTGGTGGTAAGCACAAACACCTTCGAGAATGCTTTGCTGATCTTCGGGAACTTTGGACTTCATCAATGATGAGATGCTCAAGCTTATCAGATTCAAGCGCCATAACAAAGAGAGTCGGAGCCTTCATTCGATACTCTCCGTGATTTGCTCACTATCGCCATCACTATTTTGATAACCGGAAATGCTAGCAGGAGAAACTCGTTTTGAAACACAGCTTTTTAGGTCACCAATAACTCCTGCCAATCATTCCAAAAATATTTAAGTGTTTAACTAAAATTTTGGTGTACCCTTTAAACAGGGCTGTTGTTTGATGCTTGAATCATAATTAGTTTCACAAATATCCTTTTCTTTTTCGTGAAAGAAACAAAGAACACCAAGACTCTTGGTGCCTAGTTCAACGCCGCGATGCTGACAAAAATAAGGAGCTCAATTTGTCTATGGATCAGTATCTAGAAAGAAGCGCACTACCATACCCCGACATTCCAACCTATCAATCCAAACAATTCGTTTGTTTCAACCTGGATTTATCAGCTAATTGGTGGTCCACGATTCAAGTGAATGTAACACGGAACTGAAAGCCGTTCATGGGAATGGCTACCTCGCTTATTGACGTTGTATATCAAGTATTTCTCGCATTCATGCCTCCTCGCAAGAAAAGCACATGAGTCGGTTACCTCGAGCACTGTATGTAAAAATATAAAATGATCCATGACTTTCTACCTCAGGCTTTTGGTACAGCTACTACCCCTTGAGAAGACAAGTTCTATCAACTGAAATCTTTTGTCTCACTACAACAGATCCATGATTCGGCTGTCGGCTGAATTGATATGGTTCTTCCAGTAAGGCTTTGTTTTTAAGTTACTTAGTTCAGTGATAAACTAATTTTCGACACAGCTAGCCAATAAAAGGGATGAATTCTGCCGTCGTACTTTTTTGGAATACGCCCATCACCCGACAAATTAGCTGAGTGAAAGCAAAAAACAGTTTTGAATGCCACACCTTCGAATTCCCAGCGAAAATGACAGATCTATCCTATTGAGTACAACTTCATTCTCAATCAGATTCTTATCCACCGAATGATATATCCCCCGTAGGATGGAACAATACAAGGGAAGATTAAGCGACGATGAAACTTTCCATTCGGCTAGGTCTTTTTTGGTGGCCTCCACTGCACACCATGGAGCTTAGTAGTAGCTCTATTTGGAATGCCCCATGAGGGTGGACAATACACAACTTTTTCCGGTGTTGCCTCTTTTATTTTCACCTTAAAACCAACGCAAAAGTTTAACCCTGATTAGTTAATAAGGATGAAATACTTCTACGCAGTCTGGAAAGCACGTGATGATACCCCCGGAGTATTTTATCTGGCGTTTGCAGAGCACACGGCAATCAGGAAACTAAAAGCTAGTTGAGAGGATAATGTCTGTGAATAGCGACAAGAGTAGTGTATTCTTATAATACACTTTCACAAGCCAAACGACAGACTACAATTAGTGTATCTGAATATTACTAAAGCTAAGTCCTCTCATGGTCAGTGAAGTTCTGTTACATACTTTTGCACTTAATCTTAATGAGTATCATTTGACTAAGTAATTCCTCGTCTTTTTGGCTGCTTATAGTTAAGTATCTTTGGTATGCATACAGTTTTCTGGTCGATAAAGTTCGGTTAACACCCCCACCTACACTAATCATTCAAAAACGTAGTCCATTTGCTGTCTCCTGCGAACAGTCTGACATCTCAGGTAGGTTTCCGGAGATGTACTGCCTGAGACAGCTGAGAAGCAACCTAAAGGTCATCGTTCACCGGCTGCCGGAGAGTAATCAAAGTTGCTATTATGACACAGGTTAAAATGGGCAACTATTCCTGATTTTTCTCCTACCGTTTTGGCTGAAATCATGTTTTGATGCTGTTTTACTGACTCTGTAGCGCCTCCCGGAAGCTAACAACAAGGTGGTAGAAAGATTTGCCACCACAGAGTGGACGAACTAATCGTATGCTTCAATCAAAAAAACACTCCAAACGAAGATAATTGGGCTTTATTTAGCAAAAAATTGACTAAAGCCCAGTCATTTTTGTGAGCCGATCACGCTTAAAATCATAGTCCAACATGAACAATGTTTCAACACATTGATTTCGAAAGCAGCAAACCGAAATGCGAGAAACTTCCACGTAACAGGCTGAAAATTTGCGTGAGTGTGTCAAACACGTTATGCTCCGGTGCCAGAATGACCACTTTACAAGTCGTTGGTGTTAGCAACCCGTTGGTCTTCATGACCTCACCAGAATTCATTTAATCCATCACCAAAATTGACCGGACTTCACAATAACGCTCGTTTTCGAAATAACCGACCAGTGATGTCGTTTGAGTGGGTTTGTTTATACGAGGGTCACTGAATAAGTACTGAATCTGCGAACAAAGACGAAAACTAAACACCTTTGTCAACAAAAAGCGTCTATTGTTTTCGGGGCGCGAGAGACAGGCGAAAGTTCACCTCTCGTCCCATACGCTGAAGATGGGAAAGCTCGATAGTCAACTAGTGGCCGTGTGACGCCTTTAAAAAGGTAGCTACACGCAACGGTTGACTGTCCAACACTGCTCGAAATGACATTCAAAATACAGTCTCTGCGCCCGTTAACAAGCGTAAATTCGTCACAGGCGAAAAGCAGATGCGTGTTTGGTACAGACTGATGATTTCACACCACCCAGGCTTTGAAATCAGCTAGTCCAGAAGTGTACTGAACTGCAGTACATTGCGTAGAGACACCCAGTTCCAGCTGCACATATAACGTAACATTTTCGGTGTTATTTCTGTAACAAAATTTCACCCACTCTAAAAGCCAGAAAAACAAGGGAGCTAGCAATGTTGGTGACTAACTCAAAGGGCTCGACAACAATAGCCGGACGTTGCCTTCAAATCCAGTTCCGCGGTTCATACAACGCATCACTACACAGAAAAATAGGTCCCGGTAGAAGTTTGGAAAAATATCGGAAGGAAAATTTTTGGAAACAGTGAACAAGTTTGGGTACTATTCGCGAAAAAGAGATAATTGGAAGGTAGTTCCAAACGAGTGCCGGATTTTGTCCGCTTGACTTTCCNTGAATGCCGAGCGGCTTACTTTTCAGAAAGCGTGACGAATGACGATGTTGGTAAAGTAGTGGCAAACTGTCCGTAGATGGTAAATTTCTGAAGTTTGCTTAGTGAAATTTTACAGTTGGTGTTTTCCAAGCGACGTTCAACCTTCATTCTGATGCTTCTAGGATTCTACCTATGCCTTAACCAGCATACAAACTGGCACCGGACTACCAAGCGGAACTTAAACTAAGTGGCAAAGTAACGCGTGCATGATCAACAAATGAGTCACTAACTTGGAATAAAAACTTCATCCAGCGGCGAAATACTCCTAGTGTGTTGGACTCTCTGGAAATCTAACTTGTGGAGTTTAATAACACGCCAGTGCCAATGGACTAAAACATTCGTGGTTCAAATTTTCAGTTCGCCAGTGCTGCAGATGTTGTTTTATAAACTGTCCGTTTGTTTACCTACTTGTTTCATCTTTATCTACTACAGCGTAGCTGGCAGGTTTCGACCTTGTGATCCCGATGGTAATTTTGGACCCGTACTGGGATTTAGATGCGCTGTCATTTCCACCGGGGAGTCGACTAAAGAGCCCTATTACAATCAATATTAGTATGGTTGAAATCTATTCAAATAAAGAACAACACTATTCAAAGTTAATCGCCTCAACCTTTTGTGCCACTATTTCTTCTCTCATGGACTTTACTTCGGACTCAAATCTTTGAGGTAAACCGGCCTTCCATATCGTATGCGAGCTGGTTTCAGCCTATTCAAAAGCATACGTTTAGTGACTGTTCGTGTGAGTGGAGAACATACGAATCGGAACACTAAACTTTCTCCTCAGAAGAAGGTCGATCGACGCAGAAATAAGAGTTAGCAAATTTAAATTACATTTATGTATCGTTGTACTTGGACCATTTTGCCCACATTTATGCTTCAGTTTAATAGTTCCCTACCTTTAGCCTCGGGACTCTCTGCTTTCCAGTAAGGTAACCTTATGGATTGTGCCAGTTGTTATTGGTTCAGTTTTTCTGCAGTTCCGTGCTCCGTACAGTTTAGTGCTTGGTGCTAGGAGTCACAATACCGATTCTGACCGGAACGTTGTCTTCCGCACATCTAGAAGTTTTTTCTTTTCGGAATGCAGATGGTTGTGTACAGCGCATGAGTCTTTCAGTCTACTTCCTTCGATGGTGCCATTTCACTTGGACCATTTTGCCCACATTTATGCTTCAGTTTAATAGTTCCCTACAGCAAACGGTAAACTGAAGTCCATTTTGTTAGTGTCAAAACATCTTTTCCTCGTACATAACTTGCAAGAATCAGCCAAAAAACGAATTTTCCTTGAGTCAGTTGATGGTGTTGAATTTTTAGAACTGTCCCTTTCCCTTTATTGGCTAAAACATTGGTGCAAATTATCCTAGTTTTTTTAATGCATTTCACCAGGCAATGATCACCACCTATGGATAGGATGTCAATCGGCCTTCAGCTTATGCATATTGATTGCTAACTCATCATAGGGATAGGAGAAACAGGAGTGTAAAAACAAACGGCCGAACAGGGAGATCGAGTGTACGGTAGAACACCTGGGGATAAACTAAAGGGACAGGTAAACCACCGTCACTAGAAGCATATGTCTTGGGCGTTGAGTTTGGGGGTGATTGCAATTACAACCGGGTTCAATGGTGCCCAGAAGACTTACACAACAAAATATTCCTCTTTTCAGCCTTCTCAGATGGTATATGCTCCAAATTTTACTATATTATATATTTTTGTCATATATCATTTATCCTTATGTATTCTTTCTATTCTTCTTAAAAATTCTTCTTTGAGAAGCAAGATACATTTCTTAAACGCTTTACTCAATTTGGAATGACTTTTCGATCAACACCGATCACAAAAACGGTATTTTAGCCCAACAAACGAGTCATCCCCATTGTCAAGTACAACCAGGTGAAGGAACTCATCGACCAGCGATCAATGTACCAGGTATACTCAGAGAGGCAAGAGTCAAGATGCGCCTAGTAACACTAATAATTTCGCACTGTGACTTTATGGATGCACATCCCTCGATTCTTTTTGTCATTAAACCACAGTATACCTTGATGTAAATCCGCCACTGAACAAAGCAACCTGCGACTTGTAATCATTCAGAAGAGTGTTTTACGAACTGAGATTATCCAGACCCGCTCTGTTCTACACGAATTAAAAACTAGTGTCCCCAATGGAAGTCGTAAAGTGTTTCGTATATGGCGCTAGAAAGCATCTACAATTAGTTAATCCATTAGGCGGAGGCACGCCGAGTTGATGTAAAACACAAAATGTCAACCGTAACTCGATTATTAGAGTACTCGTGTAAAAAAACGAGAATTGGTTGGTTTTCGTCTCTCCCAGGGACGTTGTGTTTTCCATTACATTGTACCTATTCGGATTACTAATCAGAACTGTCCTTTGCTGGTCCAGTACCCTGCGTTATCTGGATACTTTACTTCCCGTTTAGACGGTCGGTGGCTTTCTTGAGAGCACTCGTGGAATCATTTCATCAAGCCAGTTGGTCAAATAATTTCAGGTTTGACTGAAAATTTACTCACTTGAAAACTTTCCTGTGCGCCTAGTTCTGTGTGAATCGTGTACGAATCCATCTTGATCGTCGGCAGAACTGGAAAAAACAAGGATGTATAGTCAACATAACAAAAAAAGGTAACATTAGAGTATGCACAGGAACACCAGCGCCTTTTGCTGGCAATAGGTTAATCACGTATCACAAAGTCACAGTAGCAGATTTCGGAACATAGACTTGAACTTCATGAGAAAACAGAAGTTTGTTAAATTTCATAATGTGAACAAGCTGCTCGAATATGATTGCAAAATTGAAACTCTGGTGATTGCGCAGTACCTACGAAAACTTATAGTAAGCTAGGTTGGTTTCGTTTATGAGGTTGACTAATGTTACCAACAAAACACTTAGTTCTCAGAGGAAACTATACTGACTGAGATCATCGAGAATAATGACATTAAGCATTTTTAGGCGCACGTAGATTAGTAGCAAGATATCTCAGCGTCCCATGCTTTGTTAATGGAAGCAGCTGAGAAGTACAGGGAAACTGGAACGTGATAGTCTGCCATCGATCGGTTGCCGACCAATCAGAAATCGGCCCGCCAATACGACGATATCGACATGTTGGTTTGGAAGAAACGACCACTCAGAAACCAGCCTTTGCTTGTGGTAATTTTAACAAGCAGAGGTAAGAAAAATTGTCGTGCTGAGTACTTCTCACAGTTTTCAACTAATTATCTTCCAGAGAATCACAGCAGAACATTCTATAAGTTGGTCACTCGCCAAGCATATGTGCACAGCTTTTCAATCTATTTGTAGTTGGTAAGACTGAAATCACAGTGAAAAGTTCTTCCTGATTTCTTTTTTTACTCGCATATTAAAATTGTATAGGAGGAAATGAGACAAAGAAAAGGAGAGTGTATAATCAATTGGAAAATTTTGGGATCGGGAGAGTGTATAATCAATTGGAAAATATTTGGGATCGATTGGGAAGTCATCTTTTCAGAGGGGTTTGGTATAATAATAAATCCACCGATTGTTTACCAAACCCCTCCGAAAAGAGATTGTATAATATTTTTTATTGAGGGACCGTTGTGCAAGACTGAAAGCTAAACTGTTTGTACCCATATAGGTCCGCCCCAGAAGGAGGATAACAATTGCCCACTCAGAAGATCTTTCATGCGTATATGCCACACATCATCAATGTGCGAATTAAAGTGGGACATACCGTTCCATGAAAATACGTCTGACCCTTTACCTTGGTTTATCAACTGTATTGTTAAAATCCAGGCACCTCAGTAGAGTAGATTATCATCCATACTATCTGTTTAATCGTTAAAACCCATATAATCGTGAAACTTCACGTCACATCACCTAGCCAAACTTTTTGATCTTCAGTCGCGTTGCATTACCGCGGAATGTTCAGCTTACTTCCACGTGCAGTGAATGGTTTGATTGAACTTTTGACGGACAGTGTGGCTTTAATGTGCTCGTTCTCAACTATGGTAGTCATGAGCCGCTATATCGCTCATCATTTTGCAACGCTATGCCTTATTCCATAGCACGGTAATCCAGTTTGGAATTGACAAACAAGCCCAGTTGCATGAGCCGCTCTAGGTAGGGCGTATTCGTAAAACGTGTCCACGTGCCTCTCTCGCCCAGCTTGCAATCACGATTATGTTGTATCGTGTATACTCACTAGGATGTGTACTTGGATAAATTTGGCATTAGATGACAAAAGCCAACCTGCCATGTGATTTTATGAACTGATTCTCAAATGTGCACAAAAACGCTTGTAGAAAATTCTTAGACAGTTTCGTCCAGTCCTTGTTCACTTGCACCTTTTATATTTTCTGAAAGGGATACTTCATCAGTGAGCCCTTGGAGCAACTTGATTCCACATAATTGACTTTAAAATGATCCCGTAAATTGTGCAGTGTAACAAATAATTAAATTTGTCCTACTGTTCGTCTATCACCTCTACAGAGCGCCTAGTCAACTAGTCCCAAAAAAGCTGGAAACAGCCCGGATCTCATCATGTTTTTTATAAAAAAATTAAAATAATTTTGGATTTTGTAGAGAATAGAGAAGACAGTAAGCAAAAAGTGCATACATGCCTTTTCTCACCCAAGCCACCATGATTAACGTCACGAAGGCGGCTAAAACAGTAGATGAATTGTAATATTTAAGTTTTCTGAGTTTAAAAATAAGGGAGATTCACAGGAAAATGCGTCCCAGGTACCGTCAAAGAGTTGCAACCAAAAGTGCACGAATTTATTTTTACCAAACATGGCGTTATCTAGTGCGGGTGCCGGGGCGAACAGAATGACGCGATGATGGTCACGAAGTCAACTCACTTTACTCATCCATGCTCTCGGAACGCATCTAAATCCCCACTTGACATGAGTCATTCATTCGCACTGAAACGAGGTGTTCTGTGAAACCATTCCACCGAGCACCAAAGGCTGCCCGAATCACAACTGGCAACGGCCAGAATTGGACTGCAAACTTGCAACTAAAGTCTGGACCTCATTTCATATTACAAATGCATTAGGATGCATCAAGACTTGCTCCGTTCACTATCCTGCATATTCCGACACATTCGAACATAGTTTTTCCGAAGTTCTACATTATCATTCTTCGAGTTAATCACCAGCTATGTGCGGCGCTGTCCAGAAAGCAGTCCAGCGGACCCCAACTGCCTCACTAATGTAATAACACGGATCATTAACTGTAATCTAATAATCAGCATTTGAGAGGCCATTAACCAATACGGCGTATTTCCGGCGAAGTGGATCATCGTGAGTTCTTAGGGGAGGTGAACTGCAGGCATGAAACGAGAAATATTCTGTTGAGGTGATAAGCAATGCTCAACGTCATGCCATTTGTATTAACATTTTAAAATAATACTTTCCATCGGTGGGCCATTTGTTCTGATGGCTCACATTCTGTTGGCTTCAAGGTCCTCACAAGCGTCAACGCAAATTCAATATTAGAGAAGACATTACATACGCGGAGCCGATGGCAGTAAAAATATGGGTTTTCTGTACAGACGGCCCACAGCCGGTGCCAGAATTCGCACTTAAAATAACAGGTTAGCGCTCCTGTAGGAAATAATTTTGGTGGACATTCAGGACCTTCGGAGAGGCGAAACTAGAAGCCGTCTTTCCAGATTTTCCAACGACCTCATGAGTAGCATCGAAACACTAAATCTTTTCGGATCCACACACACGAGTTATACTGTCACACATATGTGAACGAGTACCTAACTGAACCTGAAGGCAAAATCCAAGCTTGTCCATTGTGCTCTCGCATATATTTCAGACGACTTTTCCAAAACTAGTTGCTTTCTTGCACGTCCAGCATGGGGTAATCGTAGGATTAAATTTAGCTGACAAAAGTATTGCACCTCATTAAGAAAGTGACCGAATTTTCGGAGTCCCAACAATGACCTTGTACTACGCTGCCACGATTCTGGATGATACATTTTGTCTTTTTAGCGGTTTCACGGACATGGAAATCTTAATAGCTTTGCCTGATTAGAGAACCTACCCTGACTTACACAGAATGTGTGAAAATGTGCCCGCATTTACGGTCACGAAGGTGACAACATAGCCAAATGTGTGGATTAGAAGAAACTTTTACCCGGAGAAAAAACTTCGCAGGTTTCGTTTCGCCCTAGCTGTCTCGTTTTCTGAGTTCAAAAATGTCAACAAATCCTGTCCGTCAATATGTGATGTGATCAAATCGAGCACCAGAAACATTACACAGCATTGTGTACGCTGTCAGATAAATATGCTTCCAGTACAAAAGCGAGAACGATGGTCCGTTGAAATGTTCAGTAGAGCGTAAAATTCTGTTAGAGGAAGTTTTCGCTGCCCCTGTGCAACCTTTCTCGATAAGGCATTGCAGAGTAAAGCAACGCTGTGGTAAATTAGTGTGCTGTATCAAAATTTTCCAAAAATATCGGATTGTTCTGAGGAGTAAAAAGCGGTATTCGGATATAAAATGGGTATGGAATAATCCCCCTTTATTCTGCCCCAGCCATTCAAGGGTATATTGTCAGAACGACAATTCTGGAATACCATCTAGCCTCTTGGACAGTATCACCCGCTAAGTTAACTGAAATGTTTTCATCATAAGGTAACCTTCGCCCTACCTATTTGCGTCAATCGCTTCTGAGCGTCCTCTCCGTCCCATGTTGCCACCCTAGTTACGTTAGAGAAACGTAACACGACCACCGGAAGACTACTTCGATGCGTGCTGACCGTCGCATAATTTGCCTACACCTCCACATCTTGTTTTTATCTCAGGCAGCTTCGCCGTGTCTGTATTATATGACTTCTGGTGATTTAGTCGCTACGATACACTAGCAACGATCGACCGCCATGAATCATGTACAGGCATTGGCTAGAGTTGAAAACGCATTCGAGATTTATGATTTCTTGTGTTGAACGTCAGGCGGGAACGTTGAAAGAAATGCATAGTCATTCGAGCAACACCCAACTAAGGCAGTGTGACACGCATGACTCGTTAGTCGCCGACAGCTGTGCGGAGTATTCTTGTTCATGCTACTTGGACACCATCCTGAATGTATTTAGTTCCACGGCGATACAACAGCAATTCTCGAACATTTTCTGTCAAGAAAACCTCACATGCAAGCCACAAATTTAAAGATCCTAATCACAGAATTCTAAGTGATGCTATCAGTGATGAAACCAGAGCCTTTTTGAAAAAATTTTCGTCTTTCAAACTGAACGCAACCTTGTTTTTCAAAACCCCAAATATCTGCCTCTCTTGCTGGAGGTAAATTAACCGACGTGGCTTACTAATCAGCACAACTCTAGAGGACACCATTGTTAAGAGAAATGTAAATCAGTGAATTGGGAGGCCGGTCCCGAATCCCTGGAGAATGTTTTACAGTAACTTCAACCATTCGACGACTTCTTAAAAATTATCACAAGTTTGTTGCTCGTTGTGCGGTGTTTACATTGCAGGCTATGTAAACTGAGGTCAACGACCCTTCTGAGGACAACCGTAGACCACGTGACTGCAGGCGATATGGATGTCGGGCAGAAGTGGCGAGTTGGTCGGTTTTCTTCATCCATCTGATGCATACTGCGTAAAGAAGGCTGATCTTGCTTCTGTGAACCTCAACGGATTCAACACAGGCTACAAAACCATCATACTAAGAAAAAAATGATGCCACCTCGATTACAACAAGGACGCTCAGATAGCAATCCAAGAACCAACTTAAGAATGCACATATCAACAAACTAAAATCAACCATGGGTCTACATTTCCGTTCCTCAATTTGCAGTGCCCATAGACTAAAGGATAAGAAAATTTTAAGATTCAGAATTTAGAATTCAGTTGAGTCTCTCGTCAAAACCAAACCTGAGGGTACACCACACGCAGGTTCGTGGTTGGACTGATATCCACAAGACCGATGAGACCAGCGAAACCGACAATAGACGCTCTCTACCCCTATGAGCAGGCCAGATTTGTAGGATGCATTCTAATTCCACCACCAGCTCCTTGAAACCAAACAGAACTCCTGCGGTTTGGACGCCAAGTCGTCGTATACTAATATACCCGAAACTGCTTGGAAATAACCAAGCAGTTGCTATTGACAGACTTCACAGAGACTTCAAAGACTTTCACAAAGTACATGGCCTACTATGGTATAATAGTTAAGGCATGCCCGAATCTCACCCGTTCTTTAGTCGACTCTTTTGTGTAATAAGACTTAGCCACGGGATCCCAATGTATCCGGTTTTTGTAAATATCTTGTTTTGGAAACGGCAAGCTTTGGCTTCTCATGCGTACCGACTAAGAGTATTCTGGGTTTAGACAACTGTAAAAGCTCCTTACTAACCCAAATCCTCGCACTGAATTCAGCATAGAAATACGGTCAATTTTTTTTTTTGGGGGGGGGGGCAGGGGGTACACTTCTTAGGCTGTTTGACGCAGAACACTGGCGGGAAACTGCAAAACAACAATGCTCCAGGAGCCAAATGACTTTGGGCTGACTTGAAACTGATTGTCTGCTCATACTAAATCGGTATTTGATATTATTGTCTCATCAGTATTTATCGGAGTAAGGGCCTTGCGCACGGAAGAAGTTGATCAACCAGCAGCTGAAATTGAAGTAAAAAACGGGCCTCGAGATGGACGTTTTCAGTTGGTTTAATTAAGCATCCGTCAAGAAAGGTATTTCTACCTGTGGTGAAACCCGATAGCGAAATGCTTGAAACTGCTCTCAGTCCAGTACAAACCAGGGAAGTCCGAAATCATTCAAAGAATCCTATGCACTGGTGTACTTGAAGGATCGTCTCCTGGCAAACAGAAATAGGGATTGTGTTCACAAAATCAAATGCAACACCTGTGCCAAGTCCTATATGCGGCCGGAATCGATGAGCACAATAGGGATACAAATGGGCCACAAAGAAACACTTAAATAATGAGCGATGGCGGGACATACCTTAGGGGTAGCGCGAAAAATGAATTTTTAAATAATGTTGAAATGTTTTTAGTCAAGGGCCACGATTCAGATTGTTGCCTGCAGGAGGATCCAGAGGGAGAGACGTTGTTCCGCTGACGCGCACTGACAGAAGATCGTCGGAAATATAAATACTGCGCGCAGTTTATTATATTCCACCCGAACCCCCCTACCTGATGACAGCAGTAGTAATCGGGTCGCACTGGATGCTTCGGTCACCTCCTATCACTGAATTATGGAATACCACCATCAAAATGCATGACGCAGTTGACAAATCGGAACCAAACTTACGATACACTTCAAGTTTGGTTTCTGCAGTCACCGGTGGGGTGCCTACCGGATAACTTGTACGGGCTTCGCATACGTAAGAAGTGTCGTGTTGGTTGCTTGTCACATTGTTCAAAATCAGTTCGAGAAGGCCGTTCGGTTTGTTGTATCGGTTTTCCTTCAGTAATTCTCCGTTATCCTTTAATGTAAAGCGAAAAACGAAGGATGCGATTCATGAACATTTTGAGGGAAAGATATGTGAAGAATGACTTTTCAGTCCCGATCTGAAACAAGACTTAAACAATAGTGTCCAGTGACAATTCCCGAACTTCCTTGGTTTAAATGCAAGAGGAAACACGTAATTAGTACGACCTACTGTTTTCCTGACTATGGTCTTGTGGCCTTAATATTTGCCAATCCCCTGCGGAAAGCGGCAAAGCACTCTAAATCTGTCTTAAATTTTTGGAACAACAGGCGTCCCATGAGAATTGTGCGACAAAATCTCCTTTTTGTTTGAATAGGGGTTGAACACTCTTCTGCTGAGTTACGATTGGCTGTTCTGCATTATTGATCGTTTTCATGAACACAGACATTCGTCTGCAAATGTATCACTGTTTAGCCGACTAAGCAGAAGCAGATGTCTATGGAGAGTATTTCTCAAACTAGAGTGATATAGATAGAAGTCCAGCACTTCCTGAAACTAGTCACAAGATCACCAATATAGGCAAGAATACTACGTAATACTTCCCAGTTCCGCACTTTTTCACCAAGCTTGCTGGGCGGATTCCTGAATCTTTGATTGTACCTTTCCGGAAAGACGAGGTCGCTTAGAGACTAAGTGTATTTAAACAACGTGTGCGATTGCACGCGTCACTTTCGCTAGATTTGATGAATTCAACCCCGCACTATCAGATCAAACCTTGTGTTGTGTAGGCCTAACGATTTTCTGCACTGTCATCGTCAAATTGTGGTGATGATACTAACCTAGAAGTCACAGTGTATCACCCTAGAACGTATCAAAAGATAATAATAAGGGAATACGCAGTCGTCGGAACAACTTGCTGTCATCACACGAGTGAGCCATAAGTGCTACTACAAAACTGTAGTAATTTGTTACTGCAATTATACTGAGGCTTCTGCTATACAATCAGATTTTTGTGGGCAAGGCTTGGGAAACAAGGCAAATAAAAGTTCCCGGATTTTAAAAATTCACACAAGATCCCAGGAAAACCAGTTCGATCCTGATGATTGTTCAATAAACGCAGCAGACGGATGTGAAACGGTCTCAGGTTTTGGACGTAACACAAATACTCACAAGGTAGCTGAGAATCCCTCAATAGCCTGCTACCTGTTTCATCCATCTTGGGGCTCATCAGGGAGGCGCAGTCCGCGGGTTTACCTTAACTGTATTTGGCACCCATCAAACACTCCTCTTTGCATACGAATTTGGATTTGACGGGACACCCAGTCAGAGTTGAAAACAGTATGTCAGCGGCTATGCAGCATCCTACCCATCGAACAGCCGTGACTATAACTTAGACCAAGTTTGTCAGATATGACCGCACACACCACACTTTCAGAGCATTCAGTGCCATGAGACAAGGAAATCTGCATTCACCAGATTAACGAATGGAAAGAATCAATTTAACAGTCGTCAGTTTCTGGGATTCGAACCTAAAACCAAATTCCTTTGAAAACGGTAGCATGTGTATTCCTCAAATCTTGAGCTATTTCGGTGACACTATCATGTTTATATCAACGTTTCGATTCATTTCTGTGAAACATTTTTGATGGATAATGAAAATTTAGATAATTTTCCGCAGTGACTGTGAGGATTAGATTAGGAAAGAAACTAGACGTGGTTTAAAAATAACGTTCTGAACCAGACATCAGTTTCTTTAGAAAACGCGAAAGACAAAACAGAAGGCAGGCCAGAATACAATCGGAAGCTAGGCTGAACAAAAACAGTGCTGGTCAACTGACCATTAGAACGCTACATAGAAAGGAAATGATGACAGAATATTGCAGGAGATATAGATAAGGGAGTCGGACAACCAGTTGGTCTAGGTCTCTGCAGCTGATTTAAAGAAATAAGGTAGACATTGGGTGACATTGGGTAAACGGAACGTCCGAAATCAACTCAGATCTTTTCTGTGAACTAAAAGGAATTAACAGAATCCCTAGAGTCCTCAGTGAATCCATTAAATGGCTTGTTTTACAAGCTGAAGACTTTTAAACCGTCTGAAGAGATGGGGATACCACATTTGAAAACCGATTAGCTAGAATCTTAATATGAACTCTGGTGGAATGCACTTTTAGCCTTGTTAACCGATTACAGACGTGTTGACTTCGGTAACAAGGTCAGGAAGGCTAGATCAGGCTAAGACCACTGGTGACGTAATCGGACATCGCTCACTGCGCGATAACCGGATTTTTCTGTGCAAGATAACAAAGGTCAAAAACTGAACCTTCGCTTGTCGTCTCCGGAAGTTTCATTCCATGGTGCTCAAACGATGATTAGGCTAAAAGACAAGACGTTTGTAACCATGACCAACTGACGTTGCAATGTCGACAAACCGAGTGGGTTTCGAAGTCAGCAACAGCCGCATGTACTCACCCGGTGCTTGGAGAAAAAAACTTAACGGTGGAGGTACTATTTACGCACTGAGTACCCAAGCACTAAGTGGTCCCATCCACGTTTAGGTGCAACTTGCGATTGAGTCCAGAAGAGGTTGAAAATCTCAGTATGTCAAAATTTTTGTCAGCTGACATTTTCCTACATTTAGTGCCCACAGTTTTCTAACTACAAATTCGGGTCACTACTCGGTCGCGAACCTCGACGAACCGTCTAGATGCTCAATGAATTCAGTAACCACCACCATTCAAATGTCAAAGTCAATAGGCACCGCATGTATTGCGTCTTACTTCAGTTACCCATTAGGTTTGCTTGATTGAGAGATCCGGTTTCATCTTATTTGCAGAATTCCTTGAATAAATGTGTAGCACCAAGACTGTTATGCGCACGAGAGTCGAGCTACAGGAGTAAATTCCAATGTCGGCAGCAAAGAACGACTTACTTGGCAAGGCTGATCAGTCTTGCTGCTATGATAAGGTTCATTATACCCTTTTGTGGTTTGATATTTAGGACTTCCCATTTTTTTTATTTAACCCAGCTCCTCTTCAGTCGTCACATTACTACCTAAGCACATGCATCCAGTCGGTCCTTAGTATACCAACCTCCTTACCTTTGATTTCCAACTTAGGTGAAGATCGGGATATCCCGTTGCGTTGCACGTCAAGATGGCTGTCTCCTTCTCCTTTACTCTGTAGGTGTCCGGAACGTTGATGATTGCAACCCGTCCTGTCAGATAAGACAACCATCAGTGATTGAAAAGAGCTTGAGAGAACACACGTGCAATTAATAACTCAGTTCAACAGACTTTCCAAGATAGCTTTTGAACTCATTGTATTCCTGTGGTATTGTGAATACAGCTCATGACCATTTGGTTAATCCAGCTTAAGGGTGATTTTTCTACAGTTGTGAGTAATTACATTCCCACAAGTTTCGTATCATGTTCCAAAATTTGTCCTAAAGTTCGTTCACTGTGACTAGCTAAAGAGAGCAGTCTTGACATAAAACCTGAGAAGACAAATAGGACAAACAAAGCTGGCCCCCAACTATGATGGCGCAGTGTTCCTAAAGAATCAACAGATCAATCAGCCCAGTTCGAGCCGTTTCGGTCCATAAGCGTCATACCGACAGAAGACACTGCCGGGTTTCATAGGTCCACCCAAATATTGAGGTAAACATGTTGCATCGTAATATTCTAGTCTATGGATGGTTTCAGGCAAACCATAGTCTAAATGTAGCTCTTGAAGATATTACCTGAACGGTTTGCTAACCCGTGGATCGGTGTGAGAGTACGCAGTCCTGTTGGGGACGTAAATTTATTCAGTCTTACAACTGGTTATTGATACAAAGCACTACATATTCATCCCAATACCCCCTCCAAAAAACTTTGTCGCCCTCTTAATTCACCATACACAAGTAACTTGGCATAGAAGAAAAAACGATCCTCTCTGATCCAAGATGAAACAATCCTTTTTGGATCAGTGCACGTAACGCTCTTGGGTCGTCAGTAGGCTACTAGCTCCATTCAGTCCTTTTTCACGAATACGAGGACAGATAATTTACCAAACACCATAGGCATCTGAAGCGACATTAGAAGCTTTTGAAAACGTCCGAAAACGTGCTAAGAGACAACTGGTCATAGCATTATGATAATGTGAATAACGGTACTAGTAAGAGGCATTTGTGCAGCATATTCAGTTGAAGAGAATCATAAACGATAAATTTAGTTAACTTTCGTATGAAAACCGAATTGATTTGCAAATGAGTGTATTTGTTGTCAACGTAACTAGTATTTCTACAATGGTGAGCTTCTGCCCAGAAATGCAGCCAATTCTGACCGCATCTCTTCTAATGCTATCGATTTTCTCTGGTGATCCCACTGCTCGAATTCCATCAGAATCCCAACTTCTAGGAATTACATTGGGCACAAAGCTAACTGAAAAGCGAATAACCAAGGTCAACCCAACTGTACAGAAGCAACGACAACCAAAAATCCGACATGTTTCTTCTGCTTTGAGTAAAACTAATTTACTGCCAAAATAGGCCAAGCTTTCTCCCCAAAACTCGTGGTACTGATCTGTGGAAGGTGGCTGTTTGTAGACAATATAGGGGAAATCGTCCCTTTGTGATAACCTTCTCGTCCTGTAACACAGAGAAGTGACTCTAAATGAGCGTCCTTTGCGCTAGTCCACTTAAGAAAAGGTCATTCAAACATCCAAGTCTTTCCACTGAGAGGGAACCGGATTAATTCATGGCTTCGATTCAGTAAGAATTGGTGTCTAAAAAACAGAGATCTATACTTTTTCTCTACTTGACGATAGAATGAAAATGCATGTGAAGGCAGCAAATTTTTCAAAGGAACTAATCGACTTCTACCAAAAAGCCCCAGAATAATCGAAATGAGTGTTCCAACTCACAAAAGTATCAAGAAATTAGGTGCTTTTATTCGCATAAGTTATTGTTGCCTCTGAGTTCTGAATCATGCCGTTAACCAGATCCTCACATTGAAACACAAAAAACAGATGGTGAAACTCACGATATACTTTGATCCGAATCAACTCCCTTTCATTCACTGATCCAAGACCCATCCTTGCGATTTTTTCACAAGCAACAGTCACGTTTGCATTCAGTTCCATCGGTATATCCCCAATTTTGTGAACGCACATCTGGGACTCAGGCTTAGACAAGGGATCCACCGCCCACTGTGGGTTATCTTTAAAAAAATGTTCTTCGTAGGCCAGAAAACGTTCATATCCGGAATCGGATTCGATGATCGCTTGTAGACGTTTGTCGTTGAGTTTGAGAATCACGGCTTGATCACCTGTTGTAGAATAAAAATAGTAGACGCTCGATTACGTCGAGACCATATGTTACTTAGTGGTATACAGAAGGAAAGCTGTGCCGAATACAGATAAGTTACAACAAGTCTGGCAGAATTTCAATAGTTTTGCTTCCAAAAACGACTAGTTTCTCTTGAAGTGCAATTCACAATAGGAAGAGTCAATCACACCTGAGGAGCAAACAATGAATTTTACTTGGGCAAAAGCCATAGTGGAACCGAGACAAAATGTGACATTCGCTGGATAGATTGGAAACCGAGTTGGTGGTCTAGTATCAAGTCAGGCGCGAGATGATCGATCTTAACACACACAAAGAACTGGGAAGCGTTCACTTGCGCGCACTTTCATGGTTTCATCATGAGGATAACTGACTTTTTGAGAACTAGACTTACTTGAAAATAAATTTGGTTTTCACGAAAGATCCAACTGAATATCTCGTTTATGATATTCCACAACAGAATGTGCTGCACAAAGGCCTCCTCATTTATCAGTTGGCACGATATCTGAGATATCGCAGTATATTTTCATAAAGAAAACTGCTTACAAGGTTGCTGAAAACTCTTCAACAGCCCAGGACCGATTTTGCCTAATTTGGGGTTCATCAGGTAGACGCAGTCCCCGAGTTCCCGTCAACCTTATGTTCCAGTTTTAACCTAATTGCACGAAATTAGCGAATACACACTCATTTGATTTTTGTTTGTTGTTGTCACCTAAGAAACTGCTTGATAATTTTTCTCCTAAATACACTGACGTCTGGTTGTGCAAATGTATGGGTCTTTCGTTTGTTTATTGTAAAGCTCACTGGTAAAGATTCCAAATCGCCACACCAGGCTAGCGAGTCTCGTGTGAAGACACTGCTTCAGGCTACGTTCAGGTTTGTCCAAAGCCACTGCTTTGTTTGTAATGCCCCTCACTTCATTCTAAAGTACGTTCTGACTTCTACCTCAGAGCACTCACTATTCACTGCTCACTTGAGCCAACAGTATGGTGCTACAGTAGGTTTTCGGTTTTCTTATCAGATAGATGAACACTTTTGTGTGCTTATTACACTGTTGAGGGTGAAATGCCCGGTGAATTGACCTAAACGTGTATCGTTAGAATTCGTCTTATGCTTGCGTCATCCGTGCTCCAGTGAAATGAGCTTAAACTTTCGAGGACAAGTACCTTGTGAAATGTGCCAAACCCTGAAATTTGGTTCGTCATCGCGACGCTTGTTCTTTCTTTGATTGAAAAAAAGAGAATCATGCGATACCGCTGCTAAGTCGCGTGTCAAAGATACTAATCTTGTCCGAACCTGAACGCAAGAATAGGAGACAGCAGGCTGCAAACGACAGCAAGGGTAAAAACGCTTTGAAAGACATGCAGCGAAACGTTAAGTTTGAATGGCATCATAACAAAAATTTGTCTACCCACTCTTCAAATTAGTAGTCATAGTGTGACTATGGCTCAAACAGGCAACATTGAACATTTCGAGAGATCTGCAAGAGTTATCATGACTATCTAGTCAAGCAAGGGACCGGACATAGTTGAAACTCTATCAACATATTCATTCAAAGTGATTGCAACTCATAGTTTAGGTCTTTGCCCGCATTAGACAACCCTATTTAAAAACTTGCTACAAAATTTTGATTTGGGGCGCAAAATGTCACTTCGTCAGTAAGAGTTACCGGGAGACTACGTTGTGCAAAGATAGGCTATGCACAAAGATGACGGCACTCTGAGAGCAGCAAAGTAGCACGTGAATTAAGGGAGTTAAACCAAGTTGGTGTGCACCAATTTCACAGAGTAGTAGACGAGACACCTTATATAACATTTTCATTTAGTTTACGGCTCACACAGTTTGGCGGGCCTTAAATATGGACGGAATATGTTCCGATGTCCATATTAAACACAGGAGACAGATTCATTATTCTCAAAGTGCAATTTCAAGGCCGTTTCTGATGCTCAAAATCAGTGATCGGTTTGACCACGGCATGGGCACATATCTACTGTCGAGGTGTGAGTAGAAGCTCGTGCACACTGGGCGTACGGTGTGCGATGCAAGATTCTTGAGCCTAAATTGATGAGTGTCACTGTGTATCATCCGCTTTCGGTCAACTTGGCACACATTGCCGGTGATGTTTAACTATCTTGAGACACCTACCTCCAGGAAATTCATGCCAGTCTTGATTCTAAGGCACAAAACCACTTGGATGTTTATTTCAATGACACGATCAATGTTTCAGAAGCTCGGCTTTTATCTTACTGTACGTGTAACTTTTATAGAAAGAACTATACTAGGCAAATTTTTAATTCAACCGGACATCCAAAAACAGTATATTAAGGTTTTCTTGACATAATACATTCAATAAAAGTTTCCTGAAAGCTTTCCAAAGACACCTGCAGGTCTCACTCTTCTTGGAATCTGTTGGATAAGTGCGGTCGCCGGTTTTCGCTTGCCTTGTGTTCTAAATGAAACACATACGTTTGCGAATTAAGTTGATGTTGATGGCAGACTGAGTTCAATTTCGGCATAGTTCTTCTTTTAGGATATTCTTTACTGATTGTACTATAAGATGCCACTGAACTTTTCAGATGGTATGGCATTTCTAGTACCGTGATACGTTTTATCGACGTAAAATGTTACTTAAAAGCAACCTTTCCATCAGAAAACTCCATTTCAACTGGCACAGAAGCCTACTTTATCACTCAACATCACTCAGCATTAAGACTTCCCTAGCTCACAAACGGCTAGATAGGGAGACCAGCACGAGCATTTTGCATAATTTATTCAGCTTTCTGCAAAACAGGATCCAAGCCCAATTAATAACCACATAATTAGCAGTCTAGCACTCCTTTGATTGGCTAGTCTTCCTTGGGACTACTGTCTGAGCCTCATCGAAGCAAAAGTGGGAGCCAAGCTTATCCAACGGATGCTGGTAATAACAATAAAACAAACTTCTTCTCAAAGAAAGCCATGTTACTCGATTCCTACCTCAAACTTTCTCAAAAGGCGATCTTCAGCGTGCATTAAAATATTCCAGTTTCAGTCCGCCACAAAGCTTGGTTACTCACTTAAGTGACTTATTCTGATGTTTCGGTCGCATGCCCACGGAGTCTAGACCACCATAAAAACAACAGACTGCTGAGAAAGACGCCTCAGAACCGACAGAATAGCAGTTATGCGCGTAATCTTAGTTTACTAACATTGCATGAGTAAAGCTATTTCACTTACTGTTGGTTGATCCCTTTTTTACTGACGACGGTTTGCTGCCCAACGGACTACAAAGAGGATTCAGTTTGAGCGACGGCGATAGGCTCACCCACTGAACCCTACACTGACGATGTCACCCCGATTGGTGATGAAACGTTTGGATCTAACTGCTACTGACGACGGTTTGCTGCCCAACGGACTACAAAGAGGATTCAGTTTGAGCGACGGCGATAGGATCACCCACTGAACCCTACACTGACGATGTCACCCCGATTGGTGATGAAACGTTTGGAATCTAACTGCCAAGCTCGGCAAACAGACCAACAACTAAACAGGCTCATCATGTTTTTAAACCAGTAGGTCATTACCATTACTATACATATCCTCAATATTACTACCACTGGAGTGCTCTTGTTTGCTTTTTAACTTCCCCTGACGCTTTTGAGTTCAAGGTTCACCACACAACCACCCACCAAACGGATTTTTAAAAGCTACAACATTCAATTTAATACTGTTTCATGAAGAGCTTTCTTAAAATTAACTGCTCTGCAAAGAAGTCATAACACATTGATGTTCCAGTCTACCATGACTCTACCCAACGGTCATCCTCTTCGCCTTGGCGGAAGGTTTGTGCTTTATTTTTTTCTTATATAGGAAGGTCATATTCTCATCAATTCAGAACACCCAGGAATGTGCAGTTCACGTTTTTGGAGCCCAGCAGCGGAAACGAGGTATCTGATTCATGATGTTGCTTTCGTCGCAGGCCATACATCCGTTCTAACTGTCGACTTTCACAAGTTCAGCATGGTCAGCATGCTGGTGCTCTCAAATTCAAGATCTACTGCAGAAATGTGAGAAATGTATCAAAAAGTGCCCCTAGCCTTTACAGACCTGAATATTAAAGAGCCCGTGCCTTTGTGTGTCTCACACCACTTGCGCAAACTGTATCCGTTCCCCTCAAGAAACCCCAATAAGTAGCGGTTTCTATGAAACCCACCTCGGACACTAACATTATAAGTCAACCAGTAGTGAAATACACCGATCAATTTGGTTTAACTATGATGGATAAATGATAATGTGAGGTAAGTTTAGCCAGTTATTAGGACGTTAATGTCCAACGTTTGCTTTTCCCCCATGGTGTTTGATCCTGAAATTGTTCCTAACTCATCAGAAACTGCCAGACCGTTTTGTTTCATTTTTACAAGCAAACATAAGATAGAGAGAATTTCACCAGCAATAATTCCCTACATCAAATTGAGCTGACTGTCACTCGGAAGCTATTCTTTACTCTGAAAATTTTGTGAGGATATTCTGCTTTTTGCAGAACGAAGACCTATCACCCACTACGGCCCAGGAAACATCATCTGGCTGACAACGATGATCGGCCAAACTGCTTCATATTTGACGGGCTACCAGTCAAACTGTTGAGTATGCCTTCAAGCCTACCTATGCTGGCATAGCTTCAGACCTACTGGACTGATGTGGCGGTCCTTTTTCAGTTTTCCATGGCTTTCCATCATCACATATAGGATGATTAATCTGTAACTGCTAAGGCAATACTACTCACTATATGTCGGTTTTTCCATGCTGAAAGAACCATACCATACCAATTAACACCTGCTTGTTGGTTTGGTTCAAACGAGTTTAAGATTTATCAGACTGAAAAACTGTCTAAGGAAGTGGATTTGCTTTTTCAAGATTTTAGCCATTAAACCATTCACATTTGCAAATTGTAATACGTTTAAGAAATCATGGGTTCTCATTCATCATTGAGGACAGTTCACCGGTTTTGAAATCAAGCTGATGCTCCTGTTCGGGTCATCAGCTTATCACGATTGGTTTTCCTGCTGCTAATGTAGTTTCTTTCCCAGCTTCTCACGTATTGTACGGCTCCAGGCTTTCAAATTTTTGTGCTGAACCTATGATCACCACAACAGCCGCTTACCTAGGCAATAATCCTTACTAATGTCTCTCACAAAACAACATATGCGGTTTCATGTTATTATTGTTTCTCTTTATTTTCTGGGATGCATTTTTGACCTAGGTTGGTATTTTTGTGACGTTTGCTTTGGTACTAGCGCTTCCATTAGGACATTCAGCTAGTCCTACATTTTTTATGAAATGTTAGACACTCTGAGGAACACTAAGCTTGGTAGCATAATAAATAGGTGTAAAAACTCCATCCGTGCCATAGGTTAAGAGCCTTTATCTAAGCAACCGTTATCGATTTTAAAAAAATGTGTCTCAATGACCTGGTGGTAATAAACATGTTAACAGTAGACAGATTATGATAAATACTCATTGCATATCTTCATCTGAAAGTGGATTTTGCAACCAACTAATCTGTTAAAAAACTCTGAGGAACCATGTAAAAGAACACTCTAGAAGGCAAGTCATAACTCAAACGCACATACAGGTTTGCACGGGGCATTACACGTTCCCCTAACTCATTAAAGTGGTGAACAGGAAGGGTCGCTTTGACGTCCTTCAATTCACTTATCTGGCAGTCCGGCAAAATAAACATTTAATCGAACGAGCCGTACGTCCGGGATATGTTTCTTTTTCATCAGACTTATCATGTTCACAGAGGCACTGTTTCATCTGTTATTATTCCCAAAACTAGAATTTCTTGTTTTATGCTATGTCCCTATCCAACGTAAAAACTGCGAAACCTGAGCCGTATTTAAGCGGTACTAATTAGAGGAATTAAGCAACTTTTTATGGACCTTGGTAGCTTCACCTTAATTAGCAAACGTATAATGCATTTTGCAGTCTGTATGCTCTTCAAAATAGCTATGATAACGCTTTATCAGCCTCCGGTTAGTTTTGCCATTGGCTTGCCCCAGGTATGGCTGGCTTCTTGTATGAATACTACTGGTATTCACCAATGACCACAAACCGTGAGTAATAACAGCGACCGCAAAACCCACCCCTGAACAAAAAGTACTGTGTTATTACTTCATGCTAACTCTGGAAGTGTAGGTTATCATATAATACTCCAAGGATAAGCGTTTATTGGACAACTAACCCCGCGCTAAATATATTCCCAGGAATGGCGACTAAATCTATGCAAGCTAACAACACATACGTACACTCAACACAATTTAGATACTCTACATCTTAGAAGTCATATTCATTAAACGTCAACCTGTAGTTCCATAACTGGCACTAGTTCACTGGGAACGAGCCTCACCTGTTACTCTTTTATTATTATTATTATTATTATCATTATTATTTACTTCCCCCTTTCTAGTTGATTAATTGAATACCCTTAACATAAATATTGCCAAGAGTTAAGCTGAGCTCCTCAACTGATCCACATAGCCTAGCTGTTCATATTTGCGTTTCAGCAATGATATTTATCTCTTGCGGCGGTATGCAGTATTTTTTGCAAGTTGCTTTCTCTTTTGCGTTGGCTGTCGACCTCTGGATCCGTACGAAGTTAACTGTGCACAGGTTCGGTTGTCCACTGCCATATTTTGTCCAGTTGAATAATTTCTGAGAACTAGCTCTTACTTTTCCTATCCAAACGCACTTATATAATCGTCGTCACTCCTGTTCCCCATTCTTTCTTGCACAAACTGTATCCGGATCGCTACAGATCTTCGCTAATTTGCTCTCTTAAATCTCCACCTGCCTCATCCCGTCCGCATTGGTTTGCTGAAGACTCTTGGGACGCTCATCATGATCTTCGTGACATGGTATGCTGTGTTCTATGTGGGATCAACCAATGTCAGTTAACTTGCTGAAACCGTTCGCCAAACGTCGTTCACTGTATGCGATTTGCAGTAGCAAGCCCTATCGTGCCATATTTCTTGTCCTGTAAGGTTTTTTCGCATTAGGAAGGTCACGTTGTGTTTCTGTCTTTGCATCAGGAAACAGGCATTCTGTACACCTGCTTGCAACTCACGGTCCCGATCGCCCACAGTATACTGCTTTGTTTCGTTCCCCAACCGAGTTTCTCATAAGAGCTTTCGGTTATTGCTTTTTTGCTAGGTGCAACTGTGAACCATACAGCTTAAGTCAACACATTCCGTCACATGACCGCGCCGTTGGCTACCGGACGGCCAGCTACATTTCAGCGAATTTCCAAACCGGTCGCAACAATTATGAAGCTCGAACATCCGTCTTACCAAAAGCTCGACGGCATTCTGAGTTAACCGAGGTAGGAACACTTGCCACCCGTAAAACACTTAGGCCGAGAAACTCATTGAAAATCCATCTTATCGACTGAAAAGAGTCCGAAATTAATTTTCAACTGGTGATATGATGTGTGTGGTATTCGAAACCATCACGATAAACATTTTCTGTAATTTGCTAAATACCAGTTAAAACACCTCTCACTATAAATCTAATTTACCACCAGGGAGCCCTAATGGACTTGAAGACTTTCTCAAACTTGAATCGAATAAATCAATTGGGTTTTTACATTAAACTCACTAACCTTTTGGCTTAAGTGTACAACAAACGCTGAAATTCTCAGTTTCATTGACCCATTGAACAACTAATGAAATGTTAAGAATAAAAGGCCAATCCAACCTTCGGTGCTTGCTTTGGCTATGTGTGGTACGATAAATAGTGCGGACCACAAGAGATACAGCATGACTCGGTGGTCGTATATCCGCAAGGTCACAGTGTCCATTTATTATTTGCCCTTTGCATATTAAAACATTTTGGAAATTTGTTCAGTTCAGTGAAATGGCTTGGGAGGGACTAACTCAAGTGAAAATGTCTTGAGAACAATAACAGTGTATGGGTCTCTCATTCGTCCATGGCACGTTTGGTCAACAATAATACTAGGTTTCTGGACCAGCAAGGGACTCCTAATTTTCCGTTCTTTGTTGTAACTTGCTCGTTACTTTATAGGATACAGCTCGGTTGCAAGTATAAATGGGCAAAAACTCTACACAATTCAGTGACTTGGGTCATGAACCACACCTATTCCCTTTTTCATAAATGACTGTTTGTATCAGTTGCAGCAGGTCCCACTGTTCCATTTGTGATCCGGAGTTAGGGACCCATTTAAATCAAATGTCTCACTATTTGTCAGTTCTGCGGAAAGATTCAAAACTAGAGGGAAATCAACGAATTTGTAGCGGTATAAAACCGGGTTGCAATCTAAACGGCAAATTCAGGCTATTCGGATGCAGATAAAGAGATTGTTTTCTTGAGAAATTTTATCCACCACTGCACAATGTCACTCCGTAAAGTGGAGCCTCGTAAACTGACGGTGGCTCCGCATTTAACTGGCGAATGGCGGGAGGATACATAGTAAAATGGATTTCTAAACCTGCCTTCGTGCTAACAGCGCATTGTGGACTTCAGGTTCATGAGGCGCCTCTTTGAAAAGGAGCACTTGGCAAGCGGAGGAGCGAGGCAATATTGGTTCCGCAGTTCGTGAGAAGAGGGTGATATGATACCGATTGCTCCTTTATGCCATAGTGAAGGCGGAAGGCGAGTTAACCGGCTAATCTCACACGGTCCCAGACAAAGTTCAAAGCGTTTTGTTTTTTGTTAAATCAGGACCATAGCGACGTAGAAAGGGCATAGTGGTGTGGTAAAATTGAGCGAAACTAGTTCACAGAAGTTTACCGAAAAGGATGGATTAGATTCCCAGAGAAATACTTCGCTGTTTTCGGTGTGTTCCTACAAATTTTTGGGAAGCAGGTGGATTATCCCCTGTTTGAGAAACATTTCTTTCGATTTTTAGGAGATAATAAGCCATGAGGATACCCCCCGGGGAGATCCCTCGGAAGCCATGCAATGGCCACATTCATTTTTGTGAAATAAATAAGGCCCGAAGAAGAGCCGCCCCACTGTTTTCCCTTTTGAACATTATGCGCAATTAGCGTGTGATAGTGGGGTCTCAAGGAGTCACCCGGGATTGATGTAACATGTGGGTGTACTCTGGAAGTATTGCCCCAAAAGAATATACTCCTTTGATTACAAAACACCCACAAGTTGTGGGAGCATCGTCACATGTACACTGCCAGACAATAATCGTAGAAACGCTAATGGCGAACGCAGTTTGAGGTTAACCAGACCTAAGCCGGCTGTTCGGATCTGCACGAAACAACATGATGGAGCTGCCACAATCGTAGGCTCTCAATTCAGACCCAACTACAAAAGTTCGACAATCGCTGGCCGGCTGGCGTAGGGTTTTGGCTTCATGATGGAGCCTTACAATATGCTCGCGGAGTATCGTTCCGAATCAGTGAAATCGTGTTAGAAGCAGTCAGACTGGTTTTAAATGAAGAATTCACCCTTGATCCGAAGGTCAATGCAGAGAATCTTGTAACAACAAACCTGAAAATAATAAGTGCATTCATTTGTCCACGAAGTTTTTCGACCGCCTGGGAGTAAACAAGAGCAATGAAGATGCAAACCCGGTAAAAAGCACAGCTTTCAGAATCTGGAAGTTGGTTTCCGTATTCAGGTTGAAGCCATTTAATAAATCGGGCCATCGGGAAGCCAGAAAAAGCTGTATAATCTGATGGTTCGACCAAACTACAAAGCATCTGGCGGTTTCGCACCTAGATGACTTGATTGGAAAATTATCGCAAAGGCCAGGGAAATATCGAATTCTCTTCATCGCAATTGCTTGAACGACGGTAAATCTCTTGGTAGAAAGCGTGATACAGAACGCACTTTGGGCAGAAAACACAAAAGTGTCGTCCCCGATGCAGCTGCGTCCGCAGAAATAGAAGGTCGTAGAAATGTACGATCCCGGGGCAAAACAACGGATGAAAAACTAATAAACTAGGGGCGTTAGAGATGTCGACGCTGGAACCAGGACGAGTACACATCTGGGGTAATTTCTGAACTGTGACATCTAAGCTTGCGTCGAATTAACATATTTTGTCGTTCCCTTTGGTGATAAGGCCCTTTTTGAGCCCACTCTTATGTTGACCGTAAACTGCTTTAAAGTGCCCGTCCGCAAACTGCCTTGTAGTTTCAAAAGCCTTCCTACACCTAGTAGTCGGCCTGTCTTGGATGACCAGCCATAAAGAGTTGCGGAGATCGAGGTTGCTCAAAGAGCGGAGTGGTGGACTGTTCTGTTTTACAGTCAAGCGAAGGCCTCTCATTTCACAGACCTTTCCTGCACAGCTGTTGTACACTTTTGCGATGCGCCGTGGATTCGTATTTTGGTGTGCGGGACAATGTCTCTCCTTAGGGTCGCGTGCTGTTGCCCGTAAAGTCCAACGGAAGATGGCGTTTCCTTCATACAAAAATTTTATTGACTCTTATCCAGCTACCGCCTTATGCGTGTGCTGCTCGTGGGTGAATAAGGCGCTTCAGATGTTCCCTGGAGGGATTTCTAGCACTCCGGACAGGGCGGAAATTTTGCGGCGGCGTTGACCAGATCTTTGGATCAAACCACTTAGGCTCAGCTATTCGCCATACCAACCGCATGGCGCGCTGACCGATTACCGTCTCTAAGGAGCCTGGTTGTCGCCGTTGAAAGGCAAGTGGTTAATCAAGTGATAACTTAAGTTTCTCTTGAACAGGGTGAGCACCACGTGCTTGCTTCTGAATTTGATTAATACGGGGCCAGAAGCCCTGAACTTCAACGGTGAATTAGGAACGTCTGTCATAGAGATTTCCCAAAGAATGTATATTTTTGCTGGTCACCTAAATTGGGAACACCTTTAATCAGAGAAAACATAGAAAACTATTGTCCAGGCGGTGCTTGTTTTAAAGCAATACGCATGCGGCCGATCAACTGGGAAGGCAACCAGGAGGTTTGCGCATCTTACAAGGACCAAATTAAAAGTGGTCTTCATAAGGCTGCTGCGAATGACACTAAGAACGAACTATCATTTCACAATTTACGCCACCAGGGTAAATCAGGGATACGTCGGATGTACTTACAAAACCAGATAGCGATATGCAACCTTCCTGAGGATACATATGCCTCGTAAGGAAATAAGGCACCTCCTATGGGACCAGCCAGCGGTGTTCTCGGGGGCGAAACTGGTGAAATCAACGAGTGGCCAAGCACTAGAAACTGAAACCCCCAGCATACGTCATACATGCATAGATTCCGTTTTATCTTTTGCGTTTCGCCTAGTTTTGGCAAGGCGGACCTACAAAGAGCTTTCAACCAACCTGATCTTAACAGACAGGGACGCCTGTGAGCTCCTGCAAAGAAAACCTTCCGAACGGTTTTTTGCTCCAGATAAAACGTTTTCAAGTATATTAAGGGGTACATTATTACTAACGCAGTTTATTCCCGAATAGTGGGTGGCATACCGTCAGGCATTATTACACGATTTCAGCCGGAATAAAGCACAACTCAGTGGATTGGTGGGTGCTGGAGATTGCGTGAAAGTGGATGGTTGTAAACAGTCAGCAATATACGATCGAGACCTGGTAAAGTCCAAACCAGCATGTTAAAGAAAAGGCAATTATCAGGAGTATGTCATACTTTTGAAGGAACATACCAAATTGAAAAAAATCGGATCGTTAAGATTTGAAGTTGGCGGGCAAAGACCGAAAGGGGGAGGGCAACATAAAAGGCGAACCGCCTGAAAAATGATAAGAAAACTTCAAATTGCGAAAAATGGGAACCAGAACAACAAATCTGGTTCGATAGATGGGTTATCGCCGTCTGGCCGGTTAACTTGAACTAAATTTTAGAACCATCATTGGGGCTTTTTCCGACATAGACTGCCGGAGTTATGGCCAGGGTCACAAAAAGCATAAGCGGGGATAATGACGTAGAGGAATCAGCAATTCGCGCAAATGGCAGCGGGAATCTCAGAGTCAGGGGGTACACTGAAGCTCTAACGACCTAATAGTGCCCTTGATGGAGTGTAGATGGGCGTAAAAGTTCGATAGAGAAGGAGTTGCTGTCAACGCACAAGACGGAACGCCAACTTCACAGAAAATAACTGACTTTTTGGAGGGCATAAAATGAAAGTAAACGAGATGTTTGTGAATGGTTCAGCAGATTAGAGGCTGCTCGACTGAGGTGAAGATTTGGTTCGCAGTTGCAAGTAGGGAACCAGGTGGGCGAGAAGGCATCGTCAAAAGTAGAAAGTCAATAGTCGCGGATGTGCTACCAGAATGAGTATTGCAGTTCCATGGGATCACTGCACTGACGCACTTCGGTTTTTGGACATCCACGTGATGGTCGTCAAGGTTTCTTTAGTCTTGCCGGGGATACGCATTTTCTGGGCAGCTGGACGTGGGCTAGACGAAAAGACTGACACGGATAGTGTTAGGCTGATGCAGGGTCACGAAAAATTTCAAATCGCTAGAAAAATCATATGATTGTGGATTGAGGACAAGCCGATTTGAACCGACAACGGTTGTACGGGAGGGTTGGGCGACCACACCTGAAAATTGAAGCCTGAGAGTGGAGGTAATGACGAATGAGAAAGTAATCCGATGAAAGCAGTAGATTTCAGTGAGTGCCAGAAGGCGTCATATAAAACGGTTCCCAAGAGAAAAGTTCTAAAAGGGGATAACAGCGAGCTGAACGAATCCGGGAATGGAATTTTGTCGATTGACCCGGAGGCCAAGTATTGGCCAAGCAAGAGTAGATGCTTAATTTTGGGAAGGTAAGGACTTTGTCGCCGATGTAGCCAGCGGGAAGGTTAGCCGTAGGACTGGTTGGAACAGGCGATCATATGGTTGGATTTTATGGTGTTAGTCTTTAGCCCGGAAAGAAAATCTAATCATAAAGTCTCCATTGCGCGATGGGAACGTTATCGTAAACAGGGGCGGCAGATAAATAATAAGCGGTTGGACAATAGCTTCCAAGATAATGCACAAGACCCGTTATTTAACTGGAATCTATCAAGTCAGCTTAAAAGGAAGGTGAAAATGTGAGTCGCCAGTCACCGAGTCACTGCTGTTAGCTCCAAGAAACTGGTGTTGCACGTCAAAAACCAGCCAATAGGCGCTAAATGCGACTGATGGTAATCAGGAAATAATAGGGAATATACGTTCTGTATTTGATTGCTTCGAAAAAGATAGAAGAACGTGTGTGTCGTGTCTCGATGATGAAGTGGACCCGGGGTGGTGTAAAACAAATAGGGAGAAGAGGACAACTCTTTGCACGTCGATGTTGGCCATGAGCCTGGCACTGTACGCTGAGCCTACCCCGTGCACATAAGAATGGACAGCTATCATTTGCTTGTATTCCTTGGTGTTGCCGGACAGGTGACATCCGGGACAATGCAAATTCAGTCACAGGCAAACAACGATAACCTTTATCATAATCATAATCATCAACATCAGCATCGACAGCATGACATCAGTATTCAACACCGATGACCTTTTATGGTTTTCCTGAATTACAGGCCAGGCTCAGAACCACCCGCGGTGGGCAATGCACCAGTGCTACTACAAAGGCGGCACGTATACGAACGTACCGTGGCGTATGGCAACAGGGCGACTCTTCTTGACGAGTGTACCCATCCAATGAACGAGGTTTTTATCCCTCCCGCATTGTACCAGATCCGCAGGGCGACAAGCCACCAAGCAGTCGTAACCTCGGTTTGTGCATTGATAAATGGCTAAAGCTACCAGACATTTTATCTGGTCGGGGTCAACCAGGCCAATACGGCATTTCAGTAAGTTGGAACAAACAAACAACCACCGAAGGATTCAAGTCGCGGAGGAAAAGCGGACGGCTGCTAACTTTTGGGCCATCGGGGTGAAAAGGAAATGTTCATAGCGCGTGTACTATGGTTAAACGACGACGAAGCATTGGCGTGAACCACCATGTCAAGTAGAGGCGCATTACAGTGTCACATGTATGTGCGAACGAGGAGGCTACAGTTCTAAACAAGTATTTCAACCACTGTGCACCTTGAGAACCACCATTTGACGCGCGTGTACTGCACCGGATCAAAGGATGCGGGATGGTCCTGACAAGCGAAGAGATAAGGCTTCGGCTTGTCTAAGGTTAGTTAAATCTAGTCAAAGCAGGGTATCGGATATTAAATAGGGCTCGCAGAGCTATTCACGGATGGAACCAGGATTGAAAGAGCTTGGAATATGTTGGCTTGACGCAGAAGCACATGGCCGAAGGTAATGAAATAGAACAAGTTCAGTGGTGACGGGCATGAAAACACTTATAATGTCAGGCACTAGGTACTGTGCAACACAACCACACTCTAGAGAGCAGGAGCAGACGTGGTTCCAGGAGGTGGGTTTCTGCAAAGGAGATGGATATAATGGTGATTTATGGACAAGAACCCTTGGGAGTGTAGCTGTCTTACTTGTGAATTAACGCTAGGAGGTTTGGGCCGGTGAATTTATATGCCAGGAGTAAATAATGGGACAGTGGCGGTAAGAGCGCAAATTAAAAAGGCTTAAGGCCCATTTCAAAGAAAATGTCCAGTGTAAGCTGTGGCGTAAAAGGACGCTCGGCTTCCCCAACCTATCAACCTAGCGCGCCTAAGCCGTAAGGGATACAGCTTAAGAGTGGGTCAAGATGGGTTTTCCGAACTAACTGAAGACGGCAAGTAAACATGATTTATTTAAGAAAGATCGGCGAATGAAAGCACGGAGCTTGTGGACGCTAGCCACTCTTTACCGTGCTTGTTGAGAAAACATGAACAGACAAGAACAACTAAGACATAGGTGTCTGACTTCGGGACCATGTGGGAGCAGTGAGTAGATGGGGATGATTCGGAGGAAACACAGCAGTTGCGAAGTAAGAGTCTGCTGCACCAACAGGGTCAGAAAATAACATCCTGTCAGCCGCCAAAAAACTCAGAGTTGCAGACCAATTAGACAAGCAGCACCTGTGAAATATGCGCCCCAACATCTTAGATTGAAGAAAATGGGCCACGACGGTAGACTCCTTGCGCTTTCCAAGAGCTACTTTGGAGGCGATAACCTCAGTAATGGAATTGTTAGTCATAATAAGAAAGGAGAGATCGCAAGATTTACGGAAGAGCCTACGATACTTCTAAATTTTATGGCCTGGAGCGGATAACCGTCCTGCTGATCGACAATCAGAAACATAAGAAGCTCTTGTGGGGGCAACTAGACGCAGTAATCGTAATACATTGACGTAGGAAAGTTTGTCCGCGCTTTGCGCGTCACGAGGGGTGAATAGCTCGTCCTAGGTTTTGCGGCTCAACGAGACTGCAAAGGCTTCAATAATACCGGCGGAAATGAAGGCGGAGTCTGAGGAAGGAGTGGTAAAAAGATGAGTACTCGTCGAGCTGCAAGTGACAATACGATGGCCGCTATCAGGAAACTTCGGACCAACTGCAGAGATGCGATAAAGATAACCTTTGACAACGGCAACGTTCAGGGTGTGGAGAGTGCGTGTTGGATGTCTCACAAACTGGGACTAGTCTTCGATGTCGAGTTGGGCAGGCAGAGGAAAAATACGTAAATGGAAATTTGTTCGGACCAGAAGATCTCAGCAAGGTTGAGATCACGAACGATTTATTTGTTTTGGTGAGGGAGAGCTTAAGTGTGGGGAAGAGGCTTGAATATTAGGTTAATCGAATTTGAGTATCAGAGTATGGAAGGGGCACATATGAACACCCGACGGGCAGGAAGCTAGAATCTTCAGTATCCACCAGTGGGGGATCGTCAACATGAGGTACTTCCAGTTCGATTCTGGAGTATGTGAGACGGCCACCACCACGGCGATGGGAACGATCTGGACGGGAGGTATTGTGTCCCGGAAGCGATATAAGGGCATCAGGCGTGTTAGGATGGAGCAACGTCTCAGTGATGCATATGAATGTTGGGCAAGCTAGAGTGGAGATAAATTTGATGCAATACAACCTAGGTAGGCGGGAGCGTGTTGATTAGATGGACAGAAATATTATCAATGGGAGCAGAGGAGGTTAGCAGGGTGGCGAGTGAAAAGTTGATAAGATCGGGGAGATCACTATGGAGTGTAATAGGGGCAGAGGAATCAGGGGTCGAATAATCGTTTGTAATAGTGTTGTCAACAGCATCAGAGGATGGCAGCATATGTGGCAGTCAAACAGAAGCAGCGGGATTTAGGTCACGCAAAATGGATGGACTGTCGACGGGTTTCGAGCAACCTCATGAGTAGTATATTTCAAAGAGCAGACACAGTGTTTAAGAGGAAGGAAATAAGGCGACACTTAAGGAATGGGGGGTCTGTCTTTTAGTGCCTTCAGCATCAAATCGTGGGGAGCGGAGGAGACGGTTCTTCAGACTGGTTTGATTTGAGGAGGCGAAGTAAGAGGCCTATGGTAAGGAACGCAAACTAAGGGAAGGTGCCAGGGTGCCGCGAGGAAGCTGATGTAATCAAGCTTTCTGAGAGCGGCGGGATTCTTTGGGAGTGAACAGGAATGACCTACTTTGGCTGCGGTGGAGGGCGCAATTGAATGGAAAGTCGGGATCTAGTCAAAGGTCGTAGAGTTAGTGATGCACGTCTCTTCTGAAGAAGTGGGGGCTGTGATGCAGTAGGCAGTTTAGGAAAAGGCATCCCAGGTAAATAATATGTGGGTAGCCGGCGGGTGGAGCTTAATAAAGGCTAAGATGAGGTAATGGTAGTCGTGGTTCAGAAATCCCACTGAAGGACTGGGTGACAAAGTTTGCGGCCTACATGTGTGTTTATGTGAGATTTGGACTATATTTGTGTTTGTAGACCAAGGGCGAATAGCAAGAACTCAGGGAGCTTGTGCAAGAGAAGGTGTTACGATACGAGATATGCAGCATGTTTGAGCTGGGTGAGATGGTTGACTATGCCGAAAATTGTCGAGAGATTGAGGGCCAGGCTTATCGGCTTTCCAGTGTAAACGGACGTGTACGTATTTGTTGACCATGAGCGCATGAAAGACCAACGGCGCAAGAACTTTACCACCGGATTTCTATTCCTATTTCCAATCCCACAAACTGTACCGGTGGGTTCAACACGTCCACGTTCTCCACTCCAATTCCCGCACTTTGGACCCAAATTGCGGGAAGTAACGAATAAGGAAGTATTCGAGAATATGGGTTGTTATAATATTGCGTTCGTCCAACGAAGCGTCCTATAAACCTATAAGACATTCAGCCACAATTAACAACATTTGCAGAGTAGAATGTAGTTAGCTTCGGCATAATAAGCACAGGCCTCTTTGAGTCTACGATTTACCCTTTGCGTTCAGGGAGACTTTGTAGAGGCCCGGACTACTAGAGGAACAAGCGATGAAACGTTGATTTTAGCACCTAACCGGCTTTTATACCGTCTCGACCTATCCATCGCCTAGAAATACTCGTAGCCTGGTCCAGACCGCAAGAAGCTATCTCTTCTCAGTGTTATGGTGAGTGGCCTGTAAACTTAGCAAGTGAGATTAGCTACTCAGGTGGCGTTTTTCTGTGACTCTTCGCCTAAAATATTGTTTGAGTGAGTAGTGTATCAAGGTCAACAAATACCCCGATTTGAAAAACACACCTTAACGAAATAATGGTAGTATACGGTGTCTGTCATTTTGATTGGTTCATATGTAAGTATTGGTGGTGTACAACCTTGCTTACTGGGCTTTGGCTCATGAGCTTTATTTCTGTTTTCCATCCACAGAAATTGTCGTGAACACCTGCCTTCGGAGAATCACTGTCCCCTGGTGCTTCCATAGCGTGCATATTACATAATTGGCGACCCTGCCAGGATGGTTAACAGAGTAGACCTACCACCAAGATCCTGGCTCTTCATATGTGCATAATGGTGAGTGGCCTGTAAACTTAGCAAGTGAGATTAGCTACTCAGGTGGCGTTTTTCTGTGACTCTTCGCCTAAAATATTGTTTGAGTGAGTAGTGTATCAAGGTCAACAAATACCCCGATTTGAAAAACACACCTTAACGAAATAATTGTAGTATACGGTGTCTGTCATTTTGATTGGTTCATATGTAAGTATTGGTGGTGTACAACCTTGCTTACTGGGCTTTGGCTCATGAGCTTTATTTCTGTTTTCCATCCACAGAAATTGCCGTGAACACCTGCCTTCGGAGAATCACTGTCCCCTGGTGCTTCCATAGCGTGCATATTACCTAAAGTCTCAGTTGGCCGGAACGGCTATTAGGCTGATATAGGTGATTGCTGCAGGCAAATCGGCAGCTACAACATTTGGCGAATTTTTCCACAGCGTACGACGCATTCGTTGATGCCATATGGTATCACATTTGACAATATGCCACTTATAAGTTTGGAAATATGCATTATTAACAACCCAATGAACATTTAGTATAAAAGATGAAGGGGAAATGAGACAGCAGATTTCTGGTGCATCGAGTGCATTTTAGCTTCAGTCGATGTCTTACGCGAATGGTTCATTATGGCCTGGCAATACCTAAACATCAAACTACTCTGGACCATGTTATATCTCAGATATGTAGCCCTGATTGTCACTGCGAGTTGTTGCTTTCTACAGTAATCTTGAGCAGAAACCATCCACATGCAAGCATCTTTATTACTCAGATAACTCACTTATCCATATTTTAACTAAATATTTTGTGCTCTGTTCTAATTTTGCAGCTAAAAATCAGTGGGTTACTAAGTGAAGGTCCTTCTGGCAACCAAAGTCCCACAATCTCACTTTTTAGCGGTCGCCTTCTCTTCTAGTAACCATTACATACGTTTTCCAGTGATTCGTACTGCAAATGTATACCCGTAAGAAACCATTTTCTCTTTAATACAGATTGTTCTGTTCCACTTTTCAGATACTGACAGACGGACAGCAAAATGTCCGGAAGGCTAGCAAGGCCATGAACTCTGGGGTTATCTTTAGGTCCTGTATCCTCGTTTTTATGGATCCGCCACCAAGCATTGGATAGTCAGTGATTGAACAAGGAGGTCAGTTAGTTTTACAACAGTGTGTTTGAATGTTTAATTTCAGGCTTGAGCACTACCTGTGCTTTGCCGCGGTTTAGTTTTCTCAGCTCCCCTGTAACTTCTTTATCGCTAGTGTGAATAAAATGTGAACCTATACCAAGCGTTTTTTGGATACCAGTCATTGCATGAATACGCTGTGTCTAATCCGGTAAATGAAAAACCTCTGGCATAAGAAACCATGCGGTTTTATGCTGTCGAAACCATTGAGAGTAACGTTGGTTATCATGGCGTTTTTATCCTTGGATTGGGAAACGCACGAAAGCTTTGAGACTTCCTGCTACATTTATGATAGCCCTGATATGTATGTACATGAAGCTATGTTTTGTTCCAACCGCCTTGTAGAGACAGAAGCAAAAACTGACGACTTTTATGAGCTCGGCTAGAGAAATTCCTCTCTATTTTTTGTATAACTCATTTTTGAATGTGGATGGTGTTAAGCATATTGCGTATCAGACACCACTAGCGCGAGTCAGGGTTTTGATCACTCACCGCTTAATCATGTTTACCCACCGTATCGGTTAAGCTTTCTGGATGTGTTTTCTTGTACACTCTAGGGCTGCATAGACCTAACTCCTCCAGACACAGTAGAACCGGAGAACATGCTTACTGCTGTTTTATAAGGATAGATGAAGGGCTCGTCGTCGCGCAACAGCTGAAGCGGCCGTGTGCTAAGACTAAACTCTCAAATCCATGGCGCAAACTCACATGAAGCAAAAAACGAAAAAATTACAGGAATGAACGCCATGTCCAACCAGTCGTTTTACTTCCAGGAACTGCAATTTAAAAAGCTCCCAAAGTTGTATGTGGAAGAATGGAACACGAGTTCTAGATTGGAATGAAATAAACCATGCAGGCAACCATGTGCAAGCTGTTGGACTTTTGCATGGATACATATTTAAACCTTCGATGAACAAATATATCAATAGTTGAAAGGGACTCCTGTGAGGTCTCCAGTATCAGGATGTATCTCCGAGGCGGTAATGCAAAGATGACAAAAAGCGGCCATACTAATTTTCAACCCATAGCGGTGGATCCGCTTCCTGGACGACCCCTTTTTCATCATGCAATTAAATTAAATGCACAATGCCTACAGACTGCTCAATATCGTATTTGAAGATGTCAACTTTACAAAACTGGAGCGGAGCAATCAACTAGTATTCTCTGACGTTTTAGTGAACAGAGGAGTGAGTCGGACTCTGGTTACCTGCGCATCCCGTAAGCAGACAGAAATCAAATACCGAATCGTAACAACAATCGTGTAATTCACCACAAGAATAGTTGCATTCACACCCTGGTCAAGAGGGTGGAGACACTTTAGCATCGCAGAACTATGGAATAGGGAAGTAAAACCTGCTTAGAATGCTCCAGAACAGTGGATATGCGAGGAATTTTATCGAGAGAAGCTTGAATGAGGATATCTCAACATGTAGAAAAAGCGACCGAGTGGAGAGCTTCACCCTATATCAAGAATATATCTGAACTTACAGCTATATTGTTAGCTTAAAAAGGGACCCCCTTAATCTACAAGTCGAA